GTGCTCAACAACAGGGCTTTCCGTAACGCTACTCGCAAGTTAGCGTAGGTGTTGTGCGCAAGCGTGCAAGTCACGCTTACCTTGCTTTAGCCGCAAGAGTGCAGAGCGTGCTCTGAACTCGGCTCTCGGCGGCTCAAACGTCTCTCTGAGCCGAGACTTTAAGATCTCCAACGACTTAAACACTTTTGGGTCGTGAAGAGTGAGCCCTAAGGCCCAAGTCTTTGCTCGTCCTGTCAAGTTGAACAGGGCGAAGGTGGCTTGCATCTCGTCACCCTCGATGTGACGGGCCCTGATGGCGTCGTCTAACTCGACGAACCATCTCAAACAGGAATCTTTATCGGTTCCTTTGTACCTTGGGACATCGTTCTATAAGTTTTCGGGTCGATGCATGTGCGTCGGTCTGCCCATCGACTGATGAGAGCCTTGCTACTGCAGCAAGGCTATCTTCTGTCGCTCGACGGCAAGTTCCCCTTGTAGGAACTTGTTGATAGCAGCATGTTCCTGGTCTCTTCTTAGCGACTCCAACATACCACTGATGGCTGGTTCGCCCATGCGCATACTCATGCGGCCGACTACCTCTCATTCTGAGTCTCTCAGAGGGGAGTAACGTTCAAGTGTGACGTGAAAGCTGTCGTCTTCATCGTCCATCATGTTCATGTTGGACGGAATACGAAGTGCTACCAGGTGTAACGGGGCACCCTATGTTTGGGTGCCACGAAACTTCACGTACACTAGTACGTGCAGAGGAAGCTAAATTACTCGACAGCTAAGTTGAGTAAAGGTAAAAAGAGAACTGAATCTAATATAGTAAAGCTATCAAAATAACTTTAGTCTTTTTGAACTATATTAAACTACGTCCTCGTATGACGACAACCTGCTCACCACTCATTGTGCGCGTCAAGCAGCGATTGGTGGCAATCTATGGTTGATATGTCTTATATCAACCAATCTTGGAGCAGCGCATGTATATCAACCAAAAGGGAATAATATCCTACCAATATCATCCACCTCGGATAATATTGGTAGGATATTGTAATGCTAGACAATATCTCTAACGACATCGTTTGGTGTCAATATCTCTATTGATATCGTTTGGTGTCAATATCTCTATTGATATCGTTTGGTGTCAATATCATGTAACGACCTGCTCCGTTACAGCCTCCTTCTGCAAGCTCTATGTCATAGGTTTCTACTGAAAGGGGTCTGAGGAAGAGTAAGTAGAGCAGCTCATTAAGTTTTAAAAGGATGGGGTTTTAAGTTAGGGTTCAAAGAGGTGAGGGTATAAAGAAATCGCAAATTGTCTGAGGTTTTACTATAGTTATTGGGAGCTGTAGAAAGAAATTTATATTGGGGGGCCGATCAAACGCTTGTATATCATCCACTTGTTTGCGGCTATCTACTTTTTTTGTAAGCGAGTTGCTTGTCCTTTTCAAATTCCCCCACAACGCATCGGCACTGTAATCAATTAACACGCAGAGCAATCCACATTGCCTAGCCGCGACCCACCCAAAAGGTTTACGTGAAATTTGAAGGATGCAATTCGAGCCTCCAAAAATCTTACTTGAAAAAAAGTGAGTTCCATGACACACGCCAATTAATACTTAATGTCAGACAAAAAGTAGGCCTGGTACAGTTCATCACGCGCATAGTCACTAATCGTGTCTTTCTCCTGAATCGCAAAAATGTTTTCAACACAATAGCGGTAAGCTGACGGCAAAAAGACTAACCTTCTCGTGAAGAACTATGCACTTCTTCTATAGCCATGCACTTAGTCTTTCCGGTCACAACTGGTTGCAGTGCCGGTATGTGAGCTGTCATCCTATCAATTCAAATCCGTTCACGTTTCTACTTAGACACTTCCGCGCAACTTATGTCGATCTGGTTCTGCAATATCTTTTCGTCGGGTAGTAAACTGTTTGTTTAGGTGCAAATTCCGACTCGCGCTTCTCTCTGTATGCTAATTCAGAACATCTCATTACCAAATATGCGCCGTGTGCGCTATTGCTTGTCTAAAAGTCCCCTTCCTGCCTAGACGCTGGAACTACTCACCACTTTGATTACCAAGTGCTTTCATCTCCTCGTAGTTTCATCCATTGTAAAAGTTGCTAGCAATGCTCACCTAGAATATACAGCTGACACGCTGTCTTTCGCCGTCTTGGATAAAAGCGGTTCAACTAAACAGGAATGGAAACCGAGTGCTTTGGTCAAATGGCGACCTGCTGACCCATGCCGATGAAGAAAGGGTGAATCTGGATCTTGAGCCAGTAAAGAATGCTCGGCGCCGTAGTGAAGTGTAATAATCGTTGGGGTTAAACGGTGAAAAAGAAGGCTGCCTCTCTCCTTCAATTCCGGAGGTTGATGCCTGGGTAACGTTGCAGGTTTTCCCATAAATTTTAAGGATCTGATCGTTAGAGAGGAAGCTCACTAGAGGAATGACTTGGATGTCGGCTGGAGGTACAACGATGTTGATTATGTACAGAAAAAGCTAAGAGACTGGATGGAGAGAGACGGCTTGCAAGTAGCTTGGATGCTTAGGTGTTAAAACAGCACAACTACTAACAACTTGCACTCTCTAATTTGAACTGGGACCGTTAACCCATCAATTTAAGAGTTAAGAACAGTAAGAGCTGGTGACAGCTAATTCCTCTGTCGCACGACGACTAGTACGGATTCTTCAAACCTTCCCCCCGACTGGGGGGTGATGGGAGGCCTCCAGGGTATCCCAGGCGCCTAGAACTCCTGTCACAAGACAACGTGACGGCGGAACTTAGCCACAACGCCATCTCCGCCGCTTCTCAGCTAGCGGGGGCTGCATAGGCGGGACTGGGCGGCCAACCCACGGCTCCCAAGGAAGTAGTCGCGTCGGCTACGCAGCCGGCCTGCGATACTTCAGCTCTAGGTAATGGAGGCGGAGATGCTCGTGGTGACACTACCGAGGGAGGCACCGCGGCAGAGGTCGCCGATACACCAGACGGGGATCAGTCAGCGGCAGGATCTCAGCTCGCTGGGGCACCAGGAGGAGACAAGTCAGCGGCAGTACCCCCTCTTTCCTCTGTGGTGGCCCCCTCGGTAGCATTCATGTCCCATGCTTTGGTAACGGAGATGGGAAGTCACCCAAGGACGAGCCAAATTGATGCGTGGTTATTGAACACAAAGGAGCTGTTCGCCGTGGAATTTGAGAAGCTCCCGATCGATTGGAATGAGCTTCCAGCCTCTAAAGCGCGGTATCCACTCTTGCGATCGTCCGAGGCGTCGAGCCTTTTACGGCTAATTGAACAAGTGTTTGTCGCGTCTACTGGTACCTACCACGAATGGAAAAACTAACCTCCTCCCTTGGAAAAGATCTCGTCTCATCTAAATGGTTTTTTACTGCTATTGTTCGACGATTGGCTAGCCAACAAAAGTAAACGAAGGCTCCTGTGTTGACCCAGTGGGCGCAAGGTGTGCGGCAGAGGACACCTACCCGGGCTGGCAGTCAGGCTTCCCCTTCCATCCCGAAGTACGAGGACTCTATGTTTGATCCTTCAAAATTCACTCGTGAGGAGGCTGAGCGCCTCAAAGCCATTTGTGAGGATCGTTCCTTCATCGGACACAAAGTGTCTCTGCAGGGTGGAACTCCTGATGAGTGGCGAATAATTACGGGAATCGCTGAAGGCCACATCGTGTGCCGGCGCGTGCCGCTTTTTTTTAAGGCGGTTCTGGGCAGTCAGGAGCTCTTGCGACTCCATAGCATGGTGCAGGCTTAAGTGGAAGGTCAGCTAACGTAATCACTGGGTCCAGATCAGGGGCACCGATAAACAGGCAGACGACACGGTCCATCACGGAGACCGTACTCGAATCAGCGGAACTGGCGCAAGTCAGTCTGCCAGAGCTCCATTTTTTTGGTCTGACAAAGACAATTAATTATAACCGTACACTAAGTCTCTACACTTCTTCTTCTTTCCTCGGGAGACGGTTGAACGTCTCAAGCATTTGTGCATCCCGTATCGCGGCAGAGTATACACCTTGTCGAACGCCCACCGCCCGGAACGAGGGTCCGTTTGGGGACGCCAGCAAGATCCCACAGGACAGACATGGCACCAGCGCGCAGATTACACTTTCTTCTTTCATAATTTCAACCGATTCAATGAGATTGGACGAGTGGCAGCATATTTTAAGTCCAAGATCCCGACGGCTTTCGAGTTTGAGGACATCGATACGTATTGCCCCATGTCGCGTACGTCGGCATCTTGGAGAGTAACTTTCCAAGTATTCGGCTGTCCCACGTTCCTTCAAGGGATAGTGAGAATACTTTGGTTTGGGACAACCGTTATACTCCAGCATCCGGATGTCGGGCGCCGTCTCCAATGTCTCCAGTGTGGAGAACTCGGCCACACAGCGGCCGCGTGCGGATACACAAATATCCAACTTTAAGGGCCCGAGGGAATCGAGGTTTACGAGAGCGACCTCTGTACCCTCGCGGATTTGGCGAAACAATTTAGTAGCGTGGCCGAGATGCGGCGTATAGCAGCAGACAAATTGACGGTTCAGAAATCTGCGGAGGCCGCGGCCAGTGCAGCCGTGAAGCCCTCTGTGGTCCCTTCCACTCAGGCCCAGGCCCAGCGGAGTCCTTAAGTACGGACTCAGATTGGGCCTGTTCCGTTTATACACCTGTAAGTCGGGTTGCGTCAGTTTCAGGGCCGGCTACTTCAAAGGTTGACGAACAACCCTGGATAACGCAACCTATGCGCGGATCAAAGAATCCGTGGGCTCAGACACCGATGGCGCCGTCGCAAACGAAGATTTCTTTCGGGCGATAGTCGGTGTTGGAGCAAGCCGAATTGCCTTTTACTACAGAACATCATTCGCCAGGATCGTCCACTTCTGCGGATACTTCCAACACAGAGGCTGCCCGCCCACGTCCAGCCCCTGATAGCCAAACTTAGGCAGCGGTGTCTGAAAAGAGACAGGCGTTACCCCTTGGAAAAGCGCCTATATTGTCTGGTCCAGTTCTGTTAACGATGAAGAGTCAGGAACGTGCCACGTGCAATCGTATACTAGGTAGCCTGAAGGACGGCCCCAAGCGCGCGCTTCAAATGGAACACCGTCCTCAGCGGGTACCGAGCGATATGCGTAGTCTGGTCCGGCTCTTGGGATTGCGGGAGGTGGTAACCCTGGCGACAGGGAATTGTATGGCGATGGCAGTATCACAGGCTTACGCTGATGCCGACATGCATGGCGAGAATGTCGCATTTGAACGGCTCACGGCCAGTGTAAACGAGGCATTCAATTTGCCGGTCTTCTCAACTTAGACCACAATTATTCCCATGATGTGCGCATCTAGGTACTCCGTAACGCTGGGAGAGGTTGGACGACAATGAAGCCTAAAGAATCGTCGAACCAGTTTCGCTGGTTTTTACATGACTATGCCTCTTCTCCATCGGACCGTACTTCTACTATTGATGAAACGGTCTGGGGGGGGAACGATACGCTCGGGATGGCGGCGAAATTTCTCCACTAGGACATCTATGTACTCCACGTGGGAGATGAGGAAAGGGGGAAACATAGCTGCCGAAATTACTGCGCGACCGTAAGGACAAAGAAGAATATGGTCGTGGAAACGTTTCGAGAGGTTCCGTTAGCGTTGATGGAATGTATCGACGAGTTGCAGGGAGCTAAAGTTGCGACGGACGGGCGACTGCCGCTGGTGCTCCGATACTACGGTAGCCACTAGTCGGCGTTGCTGCACTCAGCCCCAGAAGGGATCTCACAGATATGGCGGTGGTTTCCTCGCAAGATCTTGTATGCTAACCATACTCACTCGGAACAGATCAGCAAGAGGTTGGCAGTGAAAGCCCAATCGCCGCAACAACGGACGTCCAAGAGGATCCTTTATCAGTTGCCGCCGGCTCCATCGTAGCTACTATTCCTCCCACAACGACCAAATAGAATTGGTTCTGTATCATCACCCAGCAGACGAAGGATCAGAGCGTGGAAGGCATCAGTCTTGTAAGCGTGGCCTTGAGCCAAATTTGACTGAAGCGGTATCGACGTGTGATATGGTCCACAAGCGCCCATCCCCATCTGTTCCGAATTCAGGAAGCACAGAGGAAGGTTGCTCGAAGATGAACTGGTCAGATTTCGACGATCGGATAGATAGAGACGACTGGCCTTCGGTCTCGCAATTACTACAGTCCAGCTGGTCGGCGGAGGCGATGAATTGTTTCCGTCTGCTCACGGCTCGACGCAGGAGTGAATTTTCACAGCGCAACGCGATCCTCACTTCCTTCTTCATCTCGTGCGACAGTTCGCCTTCCCTGGGGAACTACTTAACAGTCTGAATGATCACGTATTGATCCATTGGGCAGCAGGTTGGCGGAAGGAATGCCTTATGGCTGGGCTGGTTTTATTCCGCAGTAGGATGCAGTCGATCGCCGATCGAACATTGCTGTATTAATGGGTAACGAGCACAGCGCATCGGGGGGCCTTGACTTCATTGCCTCCTTTCATCGATAACGGCGATGACTGGCGACGCATACGTGATCTAAAACATGCGGGAGACGACATCATCAAACCTTGCGATCCACGGAATAAAGTGAGGTTCAGTCATTATTTCCTCTGCTCCTTTGTATTTGACCAAGAGATAGAGCCTCTCACGGATGTCCATAGTGAGGGCTCGTCTCTATCAGGAAAGATTCGTCGGCACTTACAGCTATTACGGGTCAACTCCGTTTAGAAGTCGGATTTTTACCCCAGCGAGTGTCAACAATTCGACTGGAACCCCATTAAATTTTTCTTTGCTTCCTTAATCACACCATCCGAGGAGCAGGGGTCTCCGAAGTACTAAGGGCGGCCCTAAGCTTCACTTAGCGGACCATTTGCGGGGGCAGGATATGATGGAGGCGGATGCACTCGGTCGATCTGCACTGCTGTCGGAGTGGTCTCGTTATGGAGAGCACGTCACGTCTAGCAGTCCGGGTCCCGAGAGCGTTAAATTTTCACCCAGAACGTGAGAGGATTTACAAAATAAGGATGAACTCAGTAGATGAAGGCTTGGCACGGCCTGCGCCTACGATAGCGATTATAGGCGTGGTGTATTAAAAAAAACTTGTTTCGGGCGAGGACCAAGCCAAGGCGCACAGATTAAAGTCGGTACAGCTATACGGGAATTATACATATCCCAGCCACCCACCATTATTATACTGGAGGACGGGGTCTTAGCAAGCTGGTGGGGTGGCTATTTTACTAAATTCCAAGTCAGCCCTTGATACTTTGGTCTGGGAGAAGGACCTCTGGGGTACACGGTAAATGGCGATTTCGATAGATGTAATCGTCATTCTCATGTTTACGCCCCGACTCTCCGATCCGAACGAGCGGATTGCTTTTCACGTCTACCCCGGTGGAATTTACCGCAAGGTAGTTCCATAATACTCGGGGACTTTAATTGCGTCCAAAGTCCACTGCTGGACCGGCTTGGCCCACATTGGTCATGTAGGCTTGAAAGTACGGCGCTAAAAGCATTTCTGGATCAATGTGAGTGGGTTGATGCCAGGTTGTTGCGCGATCACGCGGAGGACGAGAAGGCCGACGACACTGTCGACCATTTACGTATTGTGAGGGTAGTAGAGCGAGCCGGATAGATCGTTTTTACGTTCCCCATAGCTGGATTGCTCAGGTTCTATGGGTGACGGTACGCACTCCACCGTACTTGTCGGATCATCAAGAAGTGGAGCTTCATCTTCGTAGACGGTGCCAGCCCTTTCGTTCTCCGAAGGGGCGGCAGGTGACATACCCCGTTCAGGGGTCCCAGCCAGCTCGAGTCTTAGAGGAACTTTTAGATGGACTGACTGAGCTAGAGGTGGGCCAAATGAGTTCAGTTCGAGACTGGGACTCGATGGTCGTGGCGTGCAAGCCATGCATCGCACGGGTGCGCAAACGGGTGTGCCAGCGGCGGTATCGGTGTAGAACAAAACTTTTGCAGCGGGAACGGTGTTAGTTGTGAACAAGACATCAGTGGATTACTGCTAACATGAAGGAGCTTCGTCTGGATCACTCCATACGGATCGACAAGCGGCTTGAATGGACAACTGATAGCCTCCGGTGGTGCTATAAGAGGATTTTGGACTGGGAACGAGACCAAACAGTGTCCAGGATTGTCAATTTGCACGGCCCTGAATTTACTCGGCATATCACTGTTTCTGCCATATATCCTATGAATGGTCGCCACTTCTTGGAAGTATACATCGCACGGCGCCTCTGCTATCTCTACAAGCCGCGATTCAAGTATTTGTCACTGTCCCGGCCGAGCAGAGGCTATCTTGAGCGGCAAATGAAGCCTTGGTAGCCGAAATAACGGAGGCAGAGGTACTCCAGGCCGTTTCGGAGTTCAGTCGACATCAGAAAGCCAGCCCTGATGGTCATAACAATGAGTTTTAAGGACACCTCGGCCCTAATGGTGCCCGCCCTACTGACGGTAAGCAACGAGATTTTATCTGGTGCACCAATGCCGCCTTCGTTTTTGGAAGCGCTGGTGGTTCCTCTGCGGAAGAAGGGAGATTTGGCGGATTCTATCGACTATCGCCCAATATCTTTGCTTCAGACTAGTTACAAAATCTTTGCAAAGATTTTGGCTACCCACTTGCAGACAGTTATGCCGCGGTTGGTGGGAGACTCGCGGAAGGGATTTGTACGAGGCAGGCAAATGCGAACACTAGTGAACATAATGCTTTTCCAGCTGGCTTCGGCTAGTAATGAGATGGATCTACCAGCCAGAGCCAGTCGGGTCATCTTGCTGCTGGATTTCCGCAAGGCCTGCGACACAGTGGACAGGGAATTTCTGTACGCAGCGCTGCGCGCCTTTCATTTGAAGACCAGTTTATCGATCTCATCCAGCGCATGCATACCGGAACTACAGCTCGGTTCTCCGTGAATGGCATACAATTGGACCCCATTGCGGTCAGATCCGGAATTCGCCAAGGTTTCCCTTTGGCACCATTGCTCTTTCTCCTGGTGGTAGAATTGCTGGGCTTGTCAATTCACAAAGACCCGGGTCTCAGAGGGCTGCCAGTACCGGGAGCTACGGGAGTTAGGCATGTATTTTCAGCTTTCTTCGACGATACTACTCTATTTCTCGAGCGGGCGGATCAACTGGAGTCAGCATTGCGCTTAGTCCACCGATTTGAAGACCTTTCGAGCTTCCGCGCGCAACCGACGAAGAGTCTATTATTTTTTCTTAACACAGCAGTGCGGACGAAGAGTCTTTTAGAAAAATTCAACACAGCAGTGCGTTGTGCAGTATCGGGGTAGTTCAGTGTTGCCCCCGGCAGATACGACCAGGTACCTGGGCTACGATAAAGGAACTAGTGAGATGGTCAATAAGAATTGGGCACAGCGCTTCGCCGCTCGCGGCGTCGGCTGCTCACAGCTACTTCGGTGGTGACAAGTGCGCAAAATCGGGTGGTAATTCTGAATACTATCATCCTAACGGCAGTCCTATTCACGGCGGCTGTCTTCGATATTCTGTCGTGGGCAAGCGTGGAGTTGGAAAAGCTTTTAAGGGAATCTATATGGCGGAATGCCTCGGAGGTAGAGGTCAAACGTCACAAGATTAATCCTGGCCTCCTGGTTACGCCGGCGCAGGCAGAATGTGTTGGCCTTGAATCGTTTCAAGTGGCCATCAAGACGCAGCGAACGAAACAAGCGCTCAGATGGCTAATGAACACTCCAGACAAGTACTCCGCAGCTTGGAAAAGTACTATCATGCTTTCTGCTTGCTCTGTATCAGCATTAGTCCTGGCGCTTCACCGAGACTTTGGGGTCGGTCGGCCACTGCGACGACGGCATACGCGAGATCACGTGGTGCACGATCTCGAAGGCTTCCTAGCGCCAACACCAGATCAGGTATCAGCGCTCCGCTCTCGGGAGGAGACTCATCACGCCAGGCTGGTCGGAGAGGCAACCAGTTGGTGGGTCGGTCGTCATTGGTTACTGCGATAACGCGAGGACTTTCCGGCTACCGCCGACGCCGACGATCCGAGAGAGGTCTATAGAGCGGTTTTGGGACCGATTCCACTGGAACGACAACCCGTGGATTGTCGATAGCACCGGCAAGCCTCTCCAGGGCTCCAGGTTTGCACGCATACCGCCCTGTCAATCACGCGTCTTCAATATTCATCGTACCGGACATCGGCAGTTTGTTTTTACAATGCCTCGGTCCAGCGACGAGTCACCACGCCATCTTAACCCGATATTGCGGCGGTGGGCAACCACATTTCTGCTTGCTTCTCCGGCCATCAGCGTTGGTTCTGGGGTGGCAGCGCCGGAATCAATATTGAGGCACCCTCCTCCACACCTGCGGGATTACCGGTGGATTCGTGTCAGTGACGATTTGGTGGTCGGGAACCCCACGAATGCTTCCTACCTGCTGGCCCCCTTATGCCTACATCTTGGCGACAGCGGGCTCCATTAGTTTGTTTTTCCAGGAGATAACCCGATTTCGAGTATGCTTCTACGCGCGAGGCGGATTTCTGGCGGCAACGAATATCGCGGGGACTTGTTTTCTTGCCCACCCACTGCTCCATGAATTTTCTTGGATTGTGCCGGAGTCCGTGGCCAACATACATATCTGGGAAGCGTTTCTCTGGCAGGCATTTCAGTATCATAAACGGCTGCTTGGCCCGGCACTCCATGCCTGGCTCATCCACTTCGAAGGCTAAACGAGGACCGATGCGTGGCTTGCAGCGGATGTACATCAACAGCCGTTGCAGCTATGGCAACACGCGCATAGTTTGGCTGAGTATCAGGTCTGGACCTGCTTCAGGATCGCGACTAATAAGCTAGATCTTTATCATGCGGGGCGCCTCGCAGATAAAAGCTGCAGAAAACTCGACCGATGCAAAGTTTTGAAAAAGACGGCGGCTCATATTTTTTGGAACTGTCCGACAGCGCAAGCTTGTCGGCGGCAACTAATTGGTAGCTGGACCGGAGAGGGAGTCGGAAGGTACGGAATGCCGAACCATTTCAAATATTGCGCGGATCGACGGGCACCACCGGTGTCACAACATCTCCGCCAGCGTTTGCAGCATCGTTTCCAAGATGGCTATCTCGAAGCCGAGGGTACTTTCCGGCGCATCTGGTTTATCCTAAGTTCTGCTTGCCAAGTGCACCTGTGGACGGAGCGTAACGCAGCAGTATTCCGCGAAGAATTAACGAATCCATTGCGGAGTGCGTTAACATTCTGAGACCGAGGTATGAGACAGCTACGGGCGATTGCATGACGGGAACACAGGTCGGCAGAACATTCCGTCAAGGGGCGCTCTTATACGCTTGTATTGAATTGCTAAGTCATGAACCTACACGGCACTCGACCGCATTAGACATTCACCACGATGCAATGCCTTTACCGGCACTAGTATTCTGGCTCAGGACCTTTCATACATCTTCCTCATGTAAACATGTAAATAGACGGTCATGAAACTCCTCCTACTACTACTAACATGACAGAGCAAGACCCTTGATGGGACAGGATTTTACAGATGGTAAGATGATGTGACCATTTGGGATGGACATGGTGAGTTGAAGAAACATAAGCAGGAGAAAATGAAGGAAACAAACAGCTAATGTAAAGGACAGCATAGATAACTATAAGACATCAGCTCAAATATATGTAGTTCTTAATTAAAGAATTACCTCTGAGCCCAAGGTCAATAGGCTATGAGCCTAAAACATACTGGCACCACCTCCACTCAGTTCACTCGTCACGCAACGTTGCCGAGACGAACGTCAACGCACTAAACGTGTTCACTGACCCGTCAAAGATGCGGAAGGAGGCGCGATCGGCCTCGGGTACCTCAGAGGCCCAAGTTGGCGCGAGTCAAGCTTCTGAAGTGAGCTCTGAGTGCATGGAACGACTTGAGCGACTCCTCGAGGGGATGACAGTGCAGCAAGCCCAGTTTATGTCGAATTAGCTTTTTAAGTAAGATCAGTTAAAGCCGCCGAGCTGAAATCAAGCCCACTCCACCCTCGGAGCACTCATTTAGCACTATGAGTGCATTTACGGACTTCATTCGTACGCGCGACTATCGCATGAGTAGAGGATCGTTTGACGAGCCAATCCCAACCTTCGCGCCGACTGTAACCCCGCGCATGCCGCCGCCTAACACGACTTTACAACAAAGGAAGCAATCAACGTCATTGCAGCACTTCTTGCCACCAGAAGGCTATGAGATAAAATACTGAAGCCTCAGGACTTGGAATGACCCGTTTTCCCAATTTCTAATAAAAAAAGAGTTACTTGGGTGTGGGTGCCGACTTTAAAGCGTGGGAAGTGCGTTTATACAGCGACTTGGAGATGCGCAGCTAATGTGTGACGGGGTTGCACGAAGTTATGGTACTTTGTACCAGAGGTGTACACACCTGAGGTTACCCCTTTGTGAAGGCGGTATAGAATATCTTATTGGTTTGTAGGGGCTGACGAGTGTCAGCCATTAGGTACGAAAGATCTTTGAGTATGATTAAGATATTCTATAGGCTTTAACAAAAATGAAATCGGTTCCCATTTTGATTGGAAGGACACGTGGCTTGCGAGCCGTCTTGATAGTTGATCACTGATCACTAAGAGTTAGCAACACCTCCTTGAGGTAGCTACTCTTGAGCACTGAGTGCTGTCGATTCACTGAATCGTTAGGTCCCCTGGAACAGGGATCTGAAGCTGTAAAGCTTGTCGACTCGTAAAGTCGTTAGTTCTTTAAAACTAAGTTGCTCGTAGAGCGTTAAGTCTTCCTCCGACTTAAGGAGCTGTGTAGCTCCGCTACATAATGAGTGAAGGCGGATGTCGAGGATTTTAATGTTCTCGCACTAACTGGAAAGCTCGAAATATCGGGCCTGAGTTCTTGTGAAAAGATGCTTCCGGTATGGATAGCAGTATTAAACACTCTGGAACACGTCATGATCAGCATGTTGATGCTATACATGACACGGATCCCATCGACAATGGGGGTATAATTGACGGCTATCGAGAAGGGTCGCAGCAGGACGCGGTCCGAGCACTATCGTTACTTGGCGTGGCGGAACGGTCGAGAAACTCAGAACTGAGCGTACTAGAAGGTTTGTGGCAACCCAGCGCCTGCACACATCCAGGTCTCAATGTTGGCTAGGCTAAACTCCCATACAGCTGACTATCTCGCGCAAGCTGACCAATTGGTTGCATTTGCAATTGAGTTCGAAGTCAGCACTAACAAGCAAAGAAACGAGACGGTCGTGCTGAACTCTCATGTTACGGACAGGGCGGTCGACGTTTTAGAGAGTGGTGAGTGACCCAAAAAGAGGGCGTAGAGGGGAATACATCCCACGAGTATGGACCTCCAATTCACGAACATGTTGTGAATGCGGTGAAGCGGAGCACATTATAGCTAATTGTTCCAAGAAAAAGAGTGGTGCTGGTCCGGCATCGAGAAGAGTCGCATTAGCCGTTGGTACTGATACTTTTGCTGGCTTTACTTACTGGATCTTAGACATTGAGTCAAGTGTGCACCTCGTAAAGGATGCGAGAACTCTGGAGAAGGCAGTTAAATGTGAACACACGTGTCGCGCGGAAAATAACACTATGGTTCGTGTAACGGGGCACCCTGGAGCTTGTACTGGTAACAGTACAAGCTAATTATTCTGATGACAGAATAAGGCGGTGCCTCGTAACTTCACGTACACTCGTACGTGCAGAGGAAGACAGTAGAAGAAGCGAGTAATTGGTTAAAGTAAAAAGTAGAACTGTTTTTATAATAGCTAATGTCTGTTAATCATCCACTGTTTATCCTCATCTAACTATGTCTGAATACAAATGTGCATATCAACTATCTGCTCACCACTCATTGCATGCGTCTGTCGTGGCGCGTCTTCGTTGGTTGATATAATGGCCTATATCAACCAATTAGGAACAACTCGTAAGTGCTACAGAATATTTGTCCTTACGACAATATTCTGAGAATATAACTCTTATAGTTATATTCTATTAACAATTTCTTATAAATAGTTATGTAACGATTCACCTCGTTACATCACCCCCCCCTTAACCATCAGTCACTTCAGTGACTGATTGACTGAATGGATACTCGTCCCAAATCAGTTGGGACAGGGTTTGCACTTGTTGGTCCGACTCCACTTTCCAACATTTCATCGCATGGTTAACAAGCCCATGCGATGCGCGAGCAAGGCCGCCGAGAGCGCGTCCGCATGTCTCTGTGCGGACGCCGAAGCAGAAACCACAGCAACTGATGTCTCATCGGTTGCTGAAGCGACCCAGCCTGTGTCACTTGGTGATGCAGGCGCTGGTCATGAAGACACTCGTGTCTTCACAGAGTACGAGCTCGGTGTCTCGTACTCTCCTGATACGGATGACGGAACCGTATCGACGGCGAATTGAATCAAGCCGCCTGCCAAGCGTGGCATGGACGATGCTTTGCGTCGCAGCATCTTTGATTCATCTGACTGAATCAGATGAACCATCGCCGAAGCGTAGGCGCTCGAGGTCGCGAGACTCGGGCGCTAACAGTGGTGTCGGTTCTCCTATGGACACCACTTTGCGACGAGGTGCCAGTACTTCTGTCGGCACATCGCAGGAAGAGATGGACCGCAATGTCTTGCGTCTCGCTCCTGAGAAGAAGGCATGGATGCCTCCTAAATATGTCATGGATCACTTGTCGGCGACGACGAGTGATCGTTATCGAACACGGTTGTTCGATTCGTCAAGGATCCATCACCTTGACCCCAGCGCGAAAAACTATCGCGCTGAACATGAATTCTTCATCGATGCTTTCTTTAGACATCGATGGTACAGTGGGAATCACAAACGTGATGGTCCCTCACTGCTTCAAGCGTGGAACGCCTACATCCATAACCTTGAGGATGTAGGTCGTGACGCTTAGAACGACAAACTTATCAAAGCTCGTGATAAGTTTGAAAAGCGAACCCCCACAGGTGCACGCTACAAGCTGCATCGTCTGTCAAGAGAGAAAGGATTACCCTGCCTCTCTTGAGGAGAATCGTGCCCATGTTGTGTGAACAACTCTGCACGAGCACCTAAGGAGGCTTACCTTCTTACCAGCCCGTGGTGGCGCGTACGTATCTCTACTGAGATGTAAGAAGGGATTGACAACCTGAAATTCCTTTACGACCGTGCCGGGAAGACTTTCTCCGGAGGTCCTTCTGCGGCACAGGATGTGCCGCGTCGTACTGCTCAACCAGACCCAGTACGTCAACCATCAGTTGGGAGCGGGGCTCCCAAGAATCCCAGGACGGGGGATAGCCGCGCCATCGGACGAGATAACTCGTCCGACGTCCGTTCACGTCGCGGTGGATCAACAGCTGCTCTACTAGATAGCGCTGGCCACCGCGAGAGTCCTCTAATGGAGGTAGAGGAGGAGGAAAGACGCTCTCCACACGATCATGTGGATCGGTGTGTTCCCGAGAGCTTCTTTGATCGCGTAACGCAAGGGTTACGCGGCGATCTCGAGCATGAGCGGAATAGGCGTCTCCAGATGGCGGACACTGCCTCGAAGCATCGAGCTGAGTTTGCCTTTGCTCAGCTTGAGAACGAGAGATCTCTGACATCTCTTCGTGACGAGCTAAGGGTAGCTCGTGGGATTGTTGATCGGTCTCGGGCTGAGATAACTGCTCTTCAGACCCTTGTTGATGCCCACCATCGGGAACACAAGGCTCTCTGCGAGATGCTTGAGCGCAAGGGCGTTCTTCATCGGAAGAAGCAGCGTACTGATGGTACGGCTTAAGCCGACCAACGTAAAACGTGGGATGCGTTCGCATCTTACGTGGTAACTCGATCGTTTTATGCATTGCCTAGGCGGTGCAATAAACGAAATGGGCCAATGTACTTGGGTAGTAGTTTACTGCTACCCAAGTTAGTCACTACATGTTTTGGTAGATTAACCGTAGACAGTAGGACTAAGTCACCTTTATTAAATAAAAGAGTGTTTGCCCTTCCATTCTTGTCAGCGTTTTGCTTTTGCTTATCCACCGCTTCGGCGATGGAGTCTTGCACAAAACGGACTACCGTTTCACGAGCCAGTATGAACTCATCTGATGACTCGTTAGCTTCAGTGTGCTGTGAGCGCACTGCAGCGACATCAACCTTTTCTTCAGTGAGGGCTTCCGCACTCTCACTGGGATCATTGTCTTCAGTGAGGGCTTCCGCACTCTCACTGGCATCATCTTCTTCGATATTGATGTTATCGATATCGGCATCAAACGCAATGACTTCTTCGTCAGAGCGTGATGAGCGTGAACCAAATCGGTTTTTGCTCGCGCGAGTCCCTCCCCCCCTAAACCAGAGTTACACTCTAGTAAGGTGGGTACACGCGGATGGCGTAAGCCATTCACGTAAAACGGTGTATGTGTCGTGAACGCATGCACCGAGTTATTAATGGCAAACTCAACCATTGGCAAGAACTTACTCCAACTCTTGAAGGAGTGTATGTATCCTCGAAGTATCTCTTCAAGGACACGATTGGCACGTTCCGTCTGACCATCTGACTCTGGATGATCAGATGTTGACATCTTCAAGCGCGTTCCGAGTGATTTGAACACGGAACGCCAGAAATCAGCTGTGAAGCGTGGATCTCTGTATGATACGAGTTCACGGGTCAACCCATGAAGTCGGAAGATGGTGTCAATAAAGACACAAGCACAGCCACTTGCCGTGATTGACTCTGGTACAGCCACTAGGTGTACCATTTTGCTGAATCTGTCAACAAATACGAGAATACCCGTATTCCCGCGTGCGTCTTTGGGCAACCCGAAGACGAAATCCATTTTGAGATGGATTCTCAGCACTCAGCCGGAACCGGTAGAGGCTGTAAAGGTGCACGCAGTGAAGGACTTGACTTCACTCGTTGACAGACTTCGCATGCGCGAACATACTTGCGCACAAACTGATACTGGCGGGGCCAGTAAAAGTCTCGACTCACCGCGAGATTTGTTTTCTCCAGGCCATGATGTTCTCCTATAGGAGCATCGTGATACTCGAACATGATCCGCAAACGCAGATCAGTATCATCTGGGATGACAACACGTGGTGTGTCACCAGAAACGGCTGTATAATACAGTAAACCGTTACGAGTAGTGTATCGATCTGATGCAGATCGATACGCAGGCGACAATCGTTTCAACGATTCTCGGGATGGTTGGGAGAGATGTGTCAACAACTACACTATCTCACCATCTTGGGCGTATGCCCGCCTCACATCATCATACAACGTTGTAGATGGGACTGAGGACGTCATAACCGCAACAGTGACTATCTCACTGTTGGGTTTCGCGACTGGTTCAAAGTCGGGACGACGTGAGAGTGCATCAGCGACGACATTAAGTCGTCCTGGTTTGTACTCGACCGTAAAGTTGTATTCCGCAAAGAATGACAACCACCGTGCCATTCGTTGTGAAAGGTGCGGGCTGTTCACTGCCGTGCGTAATGACGCATGGTCAGTGTAAACAATGAAGGGTCTATCTCCTAATAGATAGACTCTGAACTTCGCGAGTGCATACTTCATGGCAAGGAGTTCCTTGTCATGCACTGGATAGTTCCGCTCAGCTGGTTGAAGCTGACGCGACTGATAGCAGACGACGAGTTTAACGCCTTCAAGATCGTACTGCATTAATGCACAGCCGATTGTGAAATCGCTGGCATCACAGACCACATGAAATGGCCTGTCCTGATCGGCTATTGCTAGGACTGGGGATTGTATCAAGCTCTGCTTGATACCCTCAAAGAAGCGTTGACATTCAGCGTTCCATAACCACCTCTCGTTCTTTTTCAACAAACGAGAGAGGTGCACAGTAATCTTGGCGTAATTACGTGAATACTTATGCAAATACGCCGCTAGCCCAAGGAATTTTCAAAGACCTTTGACATCAACTGGCACAGGCCAGAGGCTAATCGCCTTGATCTTTTCTGGATCAGGACGTACACCGTTCTTACCAAAGATGCACCCAAGAAGTGGTACTCCGCCTGCTGCAAATATACACTTCTTGAGATTGGCATATAATTGATGCTTTCGCATGATTGTAAGAACCTGTCGGACGTGGTACCTGTGAACCTCAACGTCCGACTTTCCACCCATAGCCCGACTATGGATGAATACGTCATCGAAATAACTCGGCACGAATTCTCGTACTGGTCTCAACAGATGTGATACACATCTGTTGAACGTGGCAGGGGCATTACTGAGCCCTTGTGGCATTACTAGCCATTCCCAGAGCATGCCGCTAGGCGTGCTAACTGCGGTATAGGGTATATCCCGTTCTCGCATAAGGATTTGATAGAAGCCATCCATCAAATCCATGGACGAAAAGATGGTACTCTTTGACATACCATCAATGATTACGTCCTTCCTCGGTATCGGCGTCTGAGCCGGTACCGTTGCAGCATTCAACTTGTTAAATGCATGCACTATCCGCCACCCTCATGTTGCTTTTCGCACACAGAAGGTCGGAGAGCTATGTGGGGAAGTTGATTCCCTCACATGGCCCGCAGCTAAACGATCGGCAAAGAACTTGTCGATCGCAAGTACTTGTTCACGAGGCAGTGGCCACTGCTTCATGACACAGTACTTCGAGCCTGGTTTGAGCTCGACTTCGTGTCGAATACCTTTATCCTTCGGTAATTCGCACGGAACAGTTTCAGGGAATACATCCTTGAATTCAACCAAATCTTCATAGAGAGGATTTGTCTTGAGCGATTCCCATGATTGGGAGTCATATCGCTCAATTCGTGTCTTTTCATCTAGGACACTCTCGTCCATAGATGAACTACTGAGAACTCTCTCGTTCTCAGTGAACATTGTTGCTGACCTTATGTCGGCTACACACTCGTCGTCAGCGACGAGTACGCAGATCTGCTTGACTTTGCCACTACGCAGATCACGCAAGAACCTTTTATGTTCGAGCGTTGGCAACTGAGTGATCTCCGAAGTCAACTTCGGAGGCGCAATCAGATCAAGTGTATAAGCGCCTACACTTGATCCGTTATTGTCTATGACATTCAATGTCTCTGTCATTTCCTGGGGACTTATTCCCTCAGGCTTCGAAGGACTTATTCCTTCGTCTTCCCGGGGACTTATTCCCGCGGGTTTCGGGGAACTTATTTCCGCCGTATTTGTAATCTTGGGACTTATTCCCTTTACTTCCTCTAGCTGTGGTTGCGCAACCACAGCGAGATCCTCTACGAAAGACTCTCCAGTCGATCTAGGATTATCGTTTCGCTTAACCTGAGCGATCGATTGTTTCTCTTCTAGATGTTCCCCTCTAGGGATACATCTTTGTCCCAGTCCACCCGACTTATTCGAGTGGTGGACCTTCGGCGCAGCCTGTGTTTCCTCACAGCCGCCGGAACTTTGCTCCGAAGTGTAACCGTTTGGTACACTAAGGTTTTCTGCAGTCGTACTAACAACCGTACCACAAGTGAGGCCATCGCACTCACTCGTAGTACATCCACACGCTTGTGGACGCTCCAAAACGTTCATCAGATGGCCATCTGATGAACAAGCGGCAGGCAGCGTTACTGTTCGATGTTGCCAGTTTACTCGTGGTTCGTACCTGCTGAGCCACGGTATTCCAAGGATGACATCAAATTTGTCATCCAAATCCAATACGATAAAGTCATCGTCATATTGGGTATCTTCTAGCGTATAGTGGATCTTCACTATACGCTTCATGACGGTTACGGATGCGCTTGTCGCAAGACGTACCGTCATCCTCGTAGGAGGTGTGTCACATTCACTGAATTTAAAGTGACCATTCTTCTAGCGATTGGCGTTGCACAAAATTGTTGGACGCCCCACAATCGACTAGAGCTCGAAGGGACAACTTATTCGTCACTTCGAGTTTCAAGGTAATGAGTGAGTTCTCATTGCCTAGAGCAGCAACGCACAATGTTTGTGTGTTGGGAGCAACCTTCATCAAGAGGCCTACAAATTCTCTTGACGTTGCTGGACCAGTAGGGTGCTCCGCACCTACTGATCCTGTCCGTTTTTTGACGGTCCATCCCGTTGTTGCGTCTTTGCACCAACAGCGGACCCTCGTCCCTGCCCCTTTCTCATGGGTGGACGGTCATTACGCCCAGTGTTGCGAGACACTGAACGAGGGGCACAACACTCGTAAGCGTATTGTCCTGTCTTTTGACATCTGTTGCATCTCTGCAACTTCTTGTAGCCTGTAGAGCGAGCCTTCTCGCTCTCTACATAGCAGAGTTCCATCGGCTCTGGACCTCCGTTGTCATATCGTCTCGGTTGACGATATGATGTCGAGCTGGCGCGAGCCTGTCTTAGACTGAAGTCTTCCTGTTCCGCAATGGAAATGGCTTGTTCTAGTGAATCTAGTTCAAGCCGGAACAGGTGAGTCTTGACGGGACCATCCGCAAGACCCTACATGAACACCGAAACCAACGTGTGTTCATCAACCAGGTTGGAATACGTACAACTCGTGAGGTGTGTATATGTTGTGCGTAAGCGTGCACATCACGCTTACCTTGTCCGAGCTTCAAGCGTTCACTTCGAGCTCTGAACTCAGCTATGAGCGTTTCAAACGTTTGTCTAAGCCGCGACTTGAAGACTTCCAACGACCCAAACGCATATGGGTCGTGCAACTTGAGCCCCAGTGCCCAAGTCTTGGCACGTCCTGCCAGATTTGACTGGGCAAATGCAACTTGCATATCCCCATCGTCGATGCGACGCGCCCTTACGGCGTCGTCTAGTTCAACGAACCATCTCAAGAGGGAGTACTCTTCGACTCCCCTGTACTTGGAGATGTCAATCTTCAAGGTCTCTGGTCGACGCGAGTGCAACGACCCACCAGCATCAGCCTGCTGCTGTATCAACAGTTCAAACTGTTGAGCACCCTGTTCTCTCAACAACTCTGCTTGTTGAGAACCTTGTTGGTGAAGCAAGGCTACTTTCTCGCGTTCAGCGTCAAGTTCGTTTTGAATGAACTTGGCGATAGTAGCATGTTGAGCATCTACATCGATAGCCTCTAGTGTAACGGGGCACCCCGAAGCTTGTACTGGTGACAGTACAAGCTACTTATTCTGATGACAGAATAAGGCGGTGCCTCGTGATTTCACGTACACTCGTACGTGCAGAGGAAGACGGTAAGAAGAAGCGAGTACTTGGTTAAAGTAAAAAGTAGAACTGTTTTTATAATAGTTAATGTCTGCAATAAATCACTATTTATCTTCATCTAACTATGTCTAAATACAAATGTGTAAATCAGTTATCTGCTCACCACTCATTGCGTGCGTCTGTCGTGGCGCGTCTTCGTTGGTTGATATAATGGCCTATATCAACCAATTAGGAACAACTCGTAAGTGCTACAGAATATTTGTCCTTATGACAATATTCCGAGAATATAACTCTTATAGTTATATTCTATTAACAATTTCTCATAAATTGTTATGTAACGATTCACCCCGTTACATCACCTCCCCCCTTAACCATCAGTCACTTTAGTGACTGATTGACTAAATGGATACTCGTCCCAAATCATTTGGGACAGGGTTTGCACTTGTTGGTCCGCGTCCACTTTCCAACATTTCATCGCATGGTAAACAAGCCCATGCGATGCGCGAGCAAGGCCGCCGAGAGCGCGTCTACACGTCTCTGTGCGGACGCCGAAGCAGAAACCACAGCAACTGATGTCTCATCGGTTGCTGAAGCGACCCAGCCTGTGTCACTTGGTGATGCAGGCGCTGGTCATGAAGACACTCGTGTCTTCACAGAGTACGAGCTCGGTGTCTCGTACTCTCCTGATACGGATGACGGAACCGTATCGACGGCGATTGAATCTAAGCCGCCTGCCAAGCGTGGCATGGACGATGCTTTGCGTCGCAGCATCTTTGATTCATCTAATGAATCAGATGAACCATCGCCGAAGCGTAGGCGCTCGAGGTCGCGAGACTCGGGCGCTAACAGTGGTGTCGGTTCTCCTATGGACACCACTTTGCGACGAGGTGCCAGTACTTCTGTCGGCACGTCGCAGGAAGAGCGGGACCGCAATGTGTTGCGTCTCGCTCCTGAGAAGAAGGCATGGATGCTTCCTAAATATGTCATGGATCAGTTGTCGGCGACGACGAGTGATCGTTATCGAACACGGTTGTTCGATTCGTCAAGGATCCATCACCTTGACCCCAGCGCGAAAAACTATCGCGCTGAACATGAATTCTTCATCGATGCTTTCTTTAGACATCGATGGTACAGTGGGAATCACAAACGTGATGGTCCCTCACTGCTTCAAGCGTGGAACGCCTACATCCATAACCTCGAGGATGTAGGTCGTGACGCTTGGAACGACAAACTTATCAAAGCTCGTGATAAGTTTGAAAAGCGAACCCCCACAGGTGCACGCTACAAGCTGCATCGTCTGTCAAGAGAGAAAGGATTACCCTGCCTCTCTTGGGGAGACTCGTGCCCATGTTGTGTGAACAACTCTGCACGAGCACCTAAGGAGGCTTACCTCCTTACCATCCAGTGGTGGCGCGTACGAGTCTCTACTGAGATGTAAGAAGGGATTGACAACCTGAAATTCCTTTACGACCGTGCCGGGAAGACTTTCTCCGGCGGTCCTTCTGCGGCACAGGATGTGCCGCGTCGTACTGCTCAACCAGACCCAGTACGTCGATCATCAGTTGGGAGCGGGGCTCCCAAGAATCCCAGGACGGGGGATAGCCGCGCCATCGGACGAGATAACTCGTCCGACGTCCGTTCACGTCGCGGTGGATCAACAGCTGCTCAACTAGCTAGCGCTGGCCACCGCGAGAGTCCTCTAATGGAGGTAGAGGCGGAGTAAAGACGCTCTCCACACGATCATGTGGATCGGTGTGTTCCCGAGAGCTTCTTTGATCGCGTAAAGCAAGGGTTACGCAATAATCTCGAACATGAGCGGGACAGGCGTCTCCAAATGGGGGACACTGTCTCGAAGCATCGAGCTGAGTTTGCCTTTGCTCAGCTTGAGAACGAGAGATCTCTGACATCTCTTCGTGACGAGCTAAGGGTAGCTCGTGGGATTGTTGATCGGTCTCGGGATGAGATAGCTGCTCTTCAGACCCTTGTTGATGCCCACCATCGGGAACACAAGGCTCTCTGCGAGATGCTTGAGCGCAAGGGCGTTCTTCATCGGAAGAAGCAGCGTACCGATGGTACGGCTTAAGCCGACCAACGTAAAACGTGGGATGCGTTCGCATCTTACGTGGTAACTCGATCGTTTATGCATTGCCTAGGCGGTGCAATAAACGAAATGGGCCGATGTACTTGGGTAGTAGTTTACTGCTAACCAAGTTAGTCACTACATGCTTTGGTAGATTAACCGTAGACATTAGGACTAAGTCACCTTTATTAAATAAAAGAGTGTTTGCCCTTCCATTCTTGTCAGCGTTTTGCTTTTGCTTATCCACCGCTTCGGCGATGGAGTCTTGCACAAAACGGACTACCGTTTCACGAGCCAGTATGAACTCATCTGATGACTCGTTAGCTTCAGTGTGCTATGAGCGCACTGCAGCAACATCAACCTTTTCTTCAGTGAGGGCTTCCGCACTCTCACTGGCATCATCTTCTTCAGTGAGGGCTTCCGCACTCTCACTGGCATCATATTCTTCGATATCGATGTTATCGATATCGGCATCAAACGCAATGACTTCTTCGTCATAGCGTGATGAGCGTGAACCAAATCGGTTTTTGCTCGCGCGAGTCCCTCCCCCCCTTAAACCAGAGTCACACTCTAGTAAGGTGGGTACACGCGGATGGCGCAAGCCATTCACGTAAAACGGTGTATGTGTCGTGGACGCATGCACCGAGTTGTTGATGGCGAACTCTACCATTGGCAAAAACTCACTCCAACTCTTAAAGGAGTGTACGTATCCTCGAAGTATCTCTTCAAGGACACGATTGGCACGTTCCGTCTGACCATCTGACTCTGGATGATCAGATGTTGACATCTTCAAGCGCGTTCCGAGTGATTTGAACACGGAACGCCAGAAATCAGCTGTGAAGCGTGGATCGCTGTATGATACGAGTTCACGGGTCAACCCATGAAGTCGGAAGATGGTGTCAATAAAGACACAAGCACAGCCACTTGCCGTGATTGACTCTGGTACAGCCACAAGGTGTACCATTTTGCTGAATCTGTCAACAAATACGAGAATACCCGTATTCCCGCGTGCGTCTTTGGGTAACCCGAAGACGAAATCCATTGAGATGGATTCCCAGCACTCAGCCGGAACCGGTAGAGGCTGTAAAGGTGCACGCAGTGAAGGACTTGACTTCACTCGTTGACAGACTTCGCATGCGCGAACATACTTGCGCACAAACTGATACTGGCGGGGCCAGTAAAAGTCTCGACTCACCGCGAGATTTGTTTTCTCCCGGCCACGGTGTCCTCCTATAGGAGCATCGTGATACTCGAACATGATCCGCAAACGCAGATCAGTATCATCTGGGATGACAACACGTGGTGTGTCACCAGAAACGGCTGTATAATACAGTAAACCGTTACGAGTAGTGTATCGATCTGATGCAGATCGATACGCAGGCGACAATCGTTTCAACGATTCTCGGGATGGTTGGGAGAGATGTGTCAACAACTTCACAATCTCACCATCTTGGGCGTATGCCCGCCTCACATCATCATACAACGTTGTAGATGGGACTGAGGACGTCGTAACCGCAACAGTGACTGTCTCACTGTTGGGTTTCACGACTGGTTCAAAGTCGGGACGACGTGAGAGTGCATCAGCGACGACATTAAGTCGTCCTGGTTTGTACTCGACCGTAAAGTTGCATTCCGCAAAGAATGACAACCACCGCGCCATTCGTTGTGAAAGGTGCGGGCTGTTCACTGCCGTGCGTAATGACGCATGGTCAGTGTAAACAATGAAGGGTCTATCTCCTAATAGATAGACTCTGAACTTCGCGAGTGCATACTTCATGGCAAGGAGTTCCTTGTCATGCACTGGGTAGTTCCGCTCAGCTGGTTGAAGCTGACGCGACTGATAGCAGACGACGTGTTCAACGCCTTCAAGATCGTACTGCATTAATGCACAGCCGATTGTGAAATCGCTGGCATCACAGACCACATGAAATGGCCTGTCCTGATCGGCTATTGCTAGGACTGGGGATTGTATCAAGCTCTGCTTGATACCCTCAAAGAAGCGTTGACATTCAGCGTTCCATAACCACCTCTCGTTCTTTTTCAACAAACGAGAGAGGTGCACAGTCGTCTCGGCGTAATTACGTGAATACTTATGCAAATACGCCGCTAGCCCAAGGAATTTTTGAAGACCTTTGACATCAACTGGCACAGGCCAGAGGCTAATCGCCTTGATCTTTTCTGGATCAGGACGTACACTGTTCTTACCAACGATGCACCCAAGAAGTGGAATTTCGCTTGCGGCAAATATACACTTCTTGAGGTTTGCATACAATTGATGCTTTCGCATGATTGTAAGAACCTGTCGGACGTGGTACCTGTGAACCTCAACGTCCGACTTTCCACCCATAGCCCGACTATGGATGAATACGTCATCGAAATAACTCGGCACGAATTCTCGTACTGGTCTCAACAGATGTGATACACATCTGTTGAACGTGGCAGGGGCATTACTGAGCCCTTGTGGCATTACTAGCCATTCCCAGAGCATGCCGCTAGGCGTGCTAACTGCGGTATAGGGTATATCCCGTTCTCGCATAAGGATTTGATAGAAGCCATCCATCAAATCCATGGACGAAAAGATGGTACTCTTTGACATACCATCAATGATTACGTCCTTCCTCGGTATCGGCGTCTGAGCCGGTACCGTTGCAGCGTTCAATTTGTTGAACGCGTGCACTATCCGCCATCCTCCTGTTGCTTTTCGCACACAGAAGGTCGGAGAGCTATGTGGGGAAGTTGATTCCCTCACATGGCCCGCAGCTAAACGATCGGCAAAGAACTTGTCGATCGCAAGTACTTGTTCACGAGGCAGTGGCCACTGCTTCATGACACAGTACTTCGAGCCTGGTTTAAGCTCGACCTCGTGTCGAATACCCTTATCCTTCGGTAATTCGCACGGAACAGTTTCAGGGAATACATCCTTGAATTCAACCAAATCTTCATAGAGAGGATTTGTCTTGAGCGATTCCCATGATTGGGAGTCATATCGCTCAATTCGTGTCTTTTCATCTAGGACACTCTCGTCCATAGATGAACTACTGAGAACTCTCTCGTTCTCAGTGAACACTGTTGCTGACCTTATGTCGGTTACACACTCGTCGTCAGCGACGAGTATGCAGATCTGCTTGACTTTGCCACTACGCAGATCACGCAAGAACCTTTTATGTTCGAGCGTTGGCAACTGAGTGATCTCCGAAGTCAACTTCGGAGGCGCAATCAGATCAAGTGTATAAGCGCCTACACTTGATCCGTTATTGACTATGACATTCAATGTCTCTGTCATTTCCTGGGGACTTATTCCCTCAGGCTTCAAAGGACTTATTCCTTCGTCTTCCCGGGGACTTATTCCCGCGGGTTTCGGGGAACTTATTTCCGCCGTATTTGTAATCTTGGGACTTATTCCCTTTACTTCCTCTAGCTGGGGTTGCGCAACCACAGCGAGATCCTCTACGAAAGACTCTCCAGTCGATCTAGGATTATCGTTTCGCTTAACCTGAGCGATCGATTGTTTCTCTTCTAGATGTTCCCCGCTAGGGATACATCTTTGTCCCAGTCCACCCGACTTATTCGAGTGGTGGACCTTCGGCGCAGCCTGTGTTTCCTCACAGCCGCCGGAACTTTGCTCCGAAGTGTAACCGTTTGGTACACTAAGGTTTTCTGCAGTCGTACTAACAACCGTACCACAAGTGAGGCCATCGCACTCACTCGTAGTACATCCACACGCTTGTGGACGCTCCAAAACGTTCATCAGATGGCCATCTGATGAACAAGCGGCAGGCATCGTTACTGTCCGATGTTGCCAGTTTACCCGTGGTTCGTATCTTCTGAGCCACGGTATTCCAAGGATGACATCAAATTTGTCATCCAAATCCAATACGATAAAGTCATCGTCATATTGGGTATCTTCTAGCGTATAGTGGATCTTCACTATACGCTTCATGACGGTTACGGATGCGCCTGTCGCAAGACGTACCGTCATCCTCGTAGGAGGTGTGTCACATTCACTGAATTTAAATGACCATTCTTCTAGCGATTGGCGTTGCACAAAATTGTTGGACGCCCCACAATCGACTAGAGCTCGAAGGGACAACTTATTCGTCACTTCGAGTTTCAAGGTAATGAGTGAGTTCTCATTGCCTAGAGCAGCAACGCACAATGTTTGTGTGTTGGGAGCAACCTTCATCAAGAGGCCTACAAATTCTCTTGACGTTGCTGGACCAGTAGGGTGCTCCGCACCTACTGATCCTGTCCGTTTTTTGACGGTCCATCCCGTTGTTGCGTCTTTGCACCAACAGCGGACCCTCGTCCCTGCCCCTTTCTCATGGGTGGACGGTCATTACGCCCAGTGTTGCGAGACACTGAACGAGGGGCACAACACTCGTAAGCGTATTGTCCTGTCTTTTGACATCTGTTGCATCTCTGCAACTTCTTGTAGCCTGTAGAGCGAGCCTTCTCGCTCTCTACATAGCAGAGTTCCATCGGCTCTGGACCTCCGTTGTCATATCGTCTCGGTTGACGATATGATGTCGAGCTGGCGCGAGCCTGTCTTAGACTGAAGTCTTCCTGTTCCGCAATGGAAATGGCTTGTTCTAGTGAATCTAGTTCAAGCCGGAACAGGTGAGTCTTGACGGGACCATCCGCAAGACCCTACATGAACACCGAAACCAACGTGTGTTCATCAACCAGGTTGGAATACGTACAACTCGTGAGGTGTGTATATGTTGTGCGTAAGCGTGCACATCACGCTTACCTTGTCCGAGCTTCAAGCGTTCACTTCGAGCTCTGAACTCAGCTATGAGCGTTTCAAACGTTTGTCTAAGCCGCGACTTGAAGACTTCCAACGACCCAAACGCATATGGGTCGTGCAACTTGAGCCCCAGTGCCCAAGTCTTGGCACGTCCTGCCAGATTTGACTGGGCAAATGCAACTTGCATATCCCCATCGTCGATGCGACGCGCCCTTATGGCGTCATCCAATTCGACGAACCATCTCAAGAGGGAGTACTATTCGACTCCCCTATACTTGGAGATGTCAATCTTCAAGGTCTCGGGTCGACGCGAATGCATCGACCCACCAGCAACAGCCTGCTGCTGTCTCATCAGTTCAAAGTGTTGAGCACCCTGTTCTCTCAACAACTCTGCTTGTTGAGAACCTTGTTGGTGAAGCAAGGCTACTTTCTCGCGTTCAGCGTCAAGTTCATTTTGAATGAACTTGGCGATAGTAGCATGTTGGGCATCTCTATTGAGAGCCTCTAGCATGACGCTAACAGCATGGATGCCCATGGTTGAACCCATCCGTTCCACCGCATCCCATTCGACATCGCTCAAATGGGAGTAGCCGTCACGCGTAGCGTGAAAGCTTTGGTCATCTTCATCATCCAACATATTCATGTTAGATGTGAACGTAGTTTTGGACGGACTACAAAGTGCTACCAGGTGTAACGGGGCACCCTGAAGCTTGTACTGATGACAGTACAAGCTACTTATTCTGATGACAGAATAAGGCGGTGCCTCGTGACTTCACGTACACTCGTACGCAGAGGAAGACGGTAAGAAGAAGCGAGTACTTGGTTAAAGTAAAAAGTAGAACTGTATTTAGCATAGTTAATGTCTGCAATAAATCACTATTTATCTTCATCTAACTATGTCTAAATACAAATGTGTAAATCAGTTATCTGCTCACCACTCATTGCGTGCGTCTGTCGTGGCGCGTCTTCGTTGGTTGATATAATGGCCTATATCAACCAATTAGGAACAACTCGTAAGTGCTACAGAATATTTGTCCTTATGACAATATTCCGAGAATATAACTCTTATAGTTATATTCTACTAACAATTTCTTATAAATTGTTATGTAACGATTCACCCCGTTACATCTAGCATGACGCTAACAGCATGGATGCCCATGGTTGAACCCATCCGTTCAACCGCATCCCATTCGACATCGCTCAAATGGGAGTAGCCGTCACGCGTAGCGTGAAAGCTTTGGTCATCTTCATCATCCAACATATTCATGTTAGATGTGAACGTAGTTTTGGACGGACTACGAAGTGCTACCAGGTGTAACGGGGCACCCTGAAGCTTGTACTGATGACAGTACAAGCTACTTATTCTGATGACAGAATAAGGCGGTGCCTCGAAACTTCACGTACACTCGTACGTGCAGAGGAAGACGGTAGAAGAAGCGAGTACTTGGTTAAAGTAAAAAGTAGAACTGTATTTAGCTTAGTTAATGTCTGTTAAAAAATCACTATTTATCTTCATCTAACTATGTCTGAATACAAATGTGCATATCAACTATCTGCTCACCACTCATTGCGTGCGTCTGTTGTGGCGCGTCTTCGTTGGTTGATATAATGGCCTATATCAGCCAATTAGGAACTACTCGTAAGTGCTACAGAATATTTGTCCTTATGACAATATTCTGAGAATATAACTCTTATAGTTATATTCTACTAACAATTTCTTGTAAATTGTTATGAAACGATTCACCCCGTTACAGTTCAAGTGACAAAGGCTGGATTAGTTGAGCCGAGAAGATTGATCGATATCAAGAGATCATGATTGACCTATCTGAAGTTCATTACGCAGAAACCTAACTGACAACATCATCATCTACGGTGCATTGAGGAGCGCGGTGTTCATCTCGATAGAGACTGCAACCACAGCTACGTGGTGCGTATAGCGGCAACTTGAATATCTCTGAGGTCTTCCGCCTCAAAAACTTTCTAATACTTGACGTACGTTGGGAGCTAACAAGATATGAACAGGCTCTAGGGATCAGTTTTGCCGCGCTACAAGTTTAAAACACGGTTGACGAAGCTCTTAATGAAACAGCACTTCTGAAACTCCACCAGCGACATGGCCACCTGTCCTCCGATACTGTTGTACGAATGGCCGACTCAGCGGGATCGATATTTTGACTAACAGATTGATCTCGGCCTACTTGCCTCCCTTGCGCGCAGGGCAAGCAAAGTGAAAAAAGCCAGTTCAATAAAGATACATGCAGAAACGCAACAATTTACAAACTTGGCAGGGTTATCGGTAATGATATCAAGGAATCGATGACACCGAAGGACAGGCGTGGTAGGTAACAGGTACCTGCTTTATTTGTTGAGTAATCGACTAACTACGTACACGTGTTCGTCGCGAAGAACAAGGTCGAGGCGACCAAGAATTTCGGACACTTTATAATCCGCTATGAGAAGAGATTTAATTGCCCCGTTCAAGCAAAGATGGCGGTTAAGAGTACGCCAACATTGATTGGTTTTGCAAGTCGGCTGGCGTGAGACGCCATGTCAGCAAAGCCGAGAACCAGGCTTCAAACGGGAAAGCTGAAAGAATGCATAGGAAGTTACTCAACATGGCGAGGTGCATGCTGTTTTCAAGGAGTCTACCTCTGTATTTTTAGGGCGATGCCGTTGAGTGTGCGGTGCACGTTGTCAATCGGAGCTCGTGCAGCACCAATACGAAACGCATGTCTCCGATCGAGATGTTAACAGGTGCTGCACCGACCTCATTGGATATTATGACTTTTGTCAGTACTTGCTTGGTGTTCAAAAACTCTGGCAAATGAGCGTGGAAACCAAGATCCCAGGTCGTAATGATACTCGGCAAAAATGAAGAAACCCAAGTGTTTTAGGGTCTACTCGCCACACGAGAACGCAGCACATTCGAAACGTTGAGATGCTAAACGGTGATCAGAATGCGTAGCTACAGGCTTCGCTGGAACGTGCAGATCATGATCTACAACGTGATGTACCAGAGCCGGGCGAGGTCGATAAGCGGAAGGAGCCAAAGACAGCTCTATCACAGCGAGAGCAGATCACAGGAAAGTCCAAGAAGAGCTCAACTAAGGCAACAATGGTGGATGAAGAATCATCTAAGTCAAGTGATTCTGACCATGATGTCGAACAACTGCCCGTCGAGAACGAGACGTTGAGTCATATGCGAACGAGCAACATGGGCTTCAACCACTTGCCCGTAAGCCGGGTGAGTGCAGTATTTTTTAAGGATCTAAGGAGTTGTCATGATAAAAGACCCGCGGGTGGAGCAGTGGAAAGAGGCGATGCAAACAGAGATAGATGTTGGAGCACAACGACACTTGGGAAGTGGTAGGTACGGAAGCTCCGTGACGCTAAGTTACTTCATAATAAGTGGGTGCATATAAGCTCAAGATGCACGCTGATGGTACTGTCGAGAGGTACAAAGCGAGGCTAGTGGCACGGGGTGATGAACAAGGGTATGGCGTCGATTATACGTACACGTTATTGGATGTGATGGAGATCATATCTGGCAAGTCGATTCTTGCGGTGACAAGAATCTGGGGCGTGTCTGCGCGTCACGGCGATGCACCAAGTGCTTGATTCAAAACCGACAAAGGAATAGCATTTGAAGATTTTACTTCACAATCGGCAGGGGATGACCATTCACGCTGGATCACTGGAAAGATCGGCGTGAAGGATAAGATACAGCTCGCTCTGAGGCTCAAGAAAGGCTTCTACGGCCTAAAACAATCAGGCAGGCTGTGGAACCCTGATGCTCCACGACATATTGATGTCATTCGGTTTTTTTTCACCCAGGGCTACACGAACAGCTGCTTATGCAGTTAAAAGGATGTCATGGGCAAGCCACCCGTGGGTTTATACGTGGATGATGGATGCACTAGAGATGGGTACCAGTGTACAGAAAGTCGACGAGCTTTCTAGCGACATGAAGGTCGTTGAGCTAAAGGATCTCGGTGTTGTTACCAAGCTTCTTCGCATCGTGTTCGACTATAATGCTGAACCTGGCAGTGTATTAGACCAAGAATGCGTCATTGAAGCAATGCTCGAGAAGTTTGGGTTGTCCGAGTCGGTACCAGTGAGAGTGCCGATCGGTGGAGAAGATGACGGAGACGGAGATGCAGGTAGCGCACTGCTACCGTCGGAAGGCAGCGGCACACCGCAGAGCCCAACTGTGCACATGTTCCAGTCGATGATGGGCAGTCTCTTATGGATCAGCCGGTGCACGCGCCCTTACATAGCAGACACCGAGCGACCCAAAGTTCGCATGCGCCCCGAGCGAAGGCGATTGGAGCTTAATTAAGGAGATAGCCAAGTACCTGAAAGGTACCAAGCATTTTATGGTGTGCCATGACTCATCTGCAATGAAAGGAGAAGGCGTGCTGGTCAAAGAATTCAGCGACGCTGATTACGCCGCGGTCAAGACTAACCGCAAGCGGTGAGCGATAACGTGTTGATAGTGGGTGGCATGATTGTGGGCTGGCTATGTAAGAACCAGAAATGTGTGGCCAAATCTACGGTGGGAGATGAGTTTGTGGCGGCTTCTCAAACTGCTGCTGAGCTGGCCGGCACGGTGTAGCTACTGAAAGAGATCGGCGTGCTGATCCAAACGGGGACATTACTTCACGTCGACAGTCAAGCAACGATAGCTCGAATCAAGAGTGAGGACATGTTTGGTCGAGCCAAGAATATTGACGTGCGGTACAAGTTTGTTAAGGACCTCGAGAAAAAGAAGGTTATCAATGTACATACTGATGTTGCTCAGTAGGTATATCGTCAGACAAGGAAACGGGTCACTTACAAGAGGAAAATGTGAAACTGATGATCAGCTTGTTTAACTACCGACCGTAATCGTGCTGGCAACATACACTATACGGAAGTGGCATCAGTCGCACTCCTCATCCATGCAAAACTGACACGTCCGTCAGTCGGCGCCGTCTGTCCCAAAAAATCACACGAACAGTCGCCCAGATGGTCAATTTCAACAAGGTAAGCACGCCCGCGCAAGAAGGAGTGTCGAAACAGTGCGTTCACTGACATGACAGGGCGAGACTGTTGATGGGACAGGGTATTACGGATGGTGACACGACGCGGCCAATTGGGATGGACGAAGTGATTTGAAGAAACCTACGCAGGAGAGATCCAAGGCAGCGGACAGCGACGGTAGCTAAAAGCCATCAGCTCAGATGCATGTAGCTCTCAAGTTACTTCCTACCTCTGAGCCCGTGTTTAACAAAGGGACCCGGGATAATGGAGAAGGCTGCTTGAGGGAGGGCAGAGGTGACTGAGGGTAGAGGTGACTGAGGGAAGGAAGTTCGATCCAGTCAAGCAGGAGCTTGAACGGTATATCCAAAGGTTCGATAGCACATCATAGCAATGTTCGTCGTGGTTTACTTTCCGTCATGACGCATGAGTGTTCTGAAGTACATGCTGCGCTGGCTAACGAGTGCATTGGCCAGCTTTATCAGCGATACATCGGCAACTCTTGCATCGCAAGTAGGGGTCGATCCACACAAGTGCAGGCGGGACACGGCAGTTCTTGTGCCAAAGCGCACAGTTCTTCGTTCAGCTGCGATAGCACCAAAGTGCGCCTAGCCAACAGCATCTTGTTAACAGTCCCGTACGATTCCCGCCGCAAATGTAGCGCAATCAAGCGCCCAGACGGCGCAAATGCAGATGATGTGCCGATATCTCGTCATGTCTATTTCAACGCTGGACTTGGAGCTCGGACGCATAAATGACCTGCCATATGGCCACTGCCGTGAGCAAGCGTACGCGCTCATACGTGCCAGTGTCTTCACTTCTGTCCATCGGCTCAGAGAGCTGCAAGCTGAAGAGGCAGTAGCTGAAGGGTACCATGGTGTTAGAATAAACACCGTGGCAGCTGACCTTCAACTTATGCGGCACGAGATTGCCGCCGTATCATTGGCATTCCACAGCGCAGTCCCAAGTTCCCGTCAAGCGAAGCGATTGTCGGGCCTTGCGCAATGACAACAAGTAAACTGTGGCTTCCTGTATTCAATCTTACCCAACCACATGACGTTGCGCTCGTTCCCATAACAAGTGCCCACCAACGCACCAATGCACTAACGCACCAACGCCAAAAGCATACAGTGTGCGCACCACTTGCTTGTGTTCGAGTCGCTTACGACACAAAGCCCAGCTCCACGGCCGCTTTATCAGCCTGGTTGCAAATGTCGTCATCGTTACAAAGGTTGCGCACATTCGTGAGCTTCTCCGGATCCTTTAGCTTAATGGCGAGTTGTAGCGCATCGCTGTACATATCGAGGCGGATAAACGTCTCGAACTTCTCATCCACAGACGTGATGCGAGCAGTGTAGTTCTCGGCCTGCTGCTTCTCTCCTTCTTCAAGACACGCTATCGCAAACGCCTTGAAGCCGCATGGCGGGGTTTTCTTTTCCATAGAAAACTTGTGCAGGGCATCCCACTGCCGCGTCTCCGCGAGAGCTTTGATCTTGACGCGGTACAACCGTTTGTCCGGCACCTTGAACTTCTTAGCAAATGCCGTAACAAGTGGCAACAGCTTTGGCTCGTACTTGCTGTCACGTAGCAGCATCTTCATCGTATTTGAGATAGACACGCCCACAAGCTTACGACGCTTCACATTTTCAGGCTTCTCTTCCAGCTTGGCTTGCTCCTGGAGCAGCTCTATTTGCTCCTCGGTGAGCTTGGCGTGAGCCGGTAGCTTTGCGCTGTTATACTTGCTGGTCGCTTCTTTCAACGCTGTGACCTTCTCGTCCACATCCGTGGTCTGGAACGACAGCAAAAGATCGCTCTCGGCGCTAGCCACATCTGTCCATAGTGCAGCGCTGCTCGAGCTTTTCGTAGCACGGTAGTACAACAGCATAAGGTTCACAGCCTCGGTGTACATCGGCTCGCGGTTTAGTACGTAGCGGAACTCGTCCATGGATGGCAGTGTGCGCTCGAGGTGGAAAAGCGTCATATAGATAAGGTCCGTGTTATTGGACTCGAGCGACTTGCGGAGCGCTAGCTCGAACTCACCCATGGACAGCAAAAGCGGCACCTGGTCGGATGCGTTCTCTTCCAGGTCCAAAAACATCGTAGCGAGCCGTCGCCGGTTTACACGCTCGGCACAATTGGCAATATCTGCGTACGAAACGAGCGTTGCCTTCTTCAGTTTTTTACGCACGAGCGCCACCAGCTCTTCATCCGACACGTTGGACGACGTTGCTGCCTTCACCTTTTCGCAAGCCCAATGCACTAGCACTCGGTCTGTGGTAATGTTCAAGTACTCGCAGATCTTGAGGGCCAGGAAATGATGACGCATTGCCACAAGCCGACTCACTACAACTTCTGCAGTCAGGCGATCGAACTGCGTGATTGTCAAGGGAAAGCCGATGTCCTGCTGGCGCAGCGCGTTCAGCACCCGAATCTTTCGACTCATGTCGACAAACATCTCAGCATCCATCATCGAGTTGCCGCCTCCGGTTCCAGTACCTCCCGAAAGTGCCGACAGAGCGTCCGTGGCCGAGTCTACGAAGCACTTGCCGTATGAAGCAGCGCGTAACAGCGTCGTCTGTGACGCGTAGTCAAACTCACTGCCGGCTGCGTCCACACAGTCCTTAATAGCATCTTCCAAAGCGTTTTGACTCAAGATGAAGCGAATATGTTCATCAGCCTTGGCATCGCCCGAATCAAAAGCATCCAGAGCTTGAAACAGCATCGCAGCTGGAGCCGTCGAGCCAACACCCTTGATATTCTCGACACACGTCGGGACGCGAAGTACAATATCGTGCGACGATGCACTGTAGACTCGACAGCAGTCGACTTCTTGAGCCAAGACAATGCTCTCCGAGTACGGAAAGCGAAGCCACGAGCCATACGGTCCAACCATGACCAAGCCTGCACTTGGCCAGTACATGAGCACGGAATCTTCTCCGCACCAGCACATGCGCTGGGGACTTGCTTTGCTCTGTGTATCAAACGTAAGGATCTTCTTGTCCATCATCGTGTTCAGTACTGTCAAGATCCCATCTTGCGAGAACAACGCCATGAACAACCCATTCGGTGCAATGGCTACAGCCGAAATGGGTGCAGCAATGGACTCCTGTAACTTCATGTCCTGAGCGCCCACCGTCTTTGCTCACCACCACGAGCGAGCGGTTCGTCGTACCTAGTAGAACATCCGGATAAATGCTCTTGAGGAATTGGGGCGCCAGCACGGCCATGCACGTGGGAGGGTTCGTCTCGGAAAGGCCGCAGTCTGGCAATAGTGACACTTTGGGACGCACCGAGTCCACGTCCAGCACCTGGACGAGCGCCATCTTCTCCGTGAGCGCCACGAGGCCGCTGCCCCAGGCTTCAAAGGTGGCGATTCGGTCCACTGACGCTGGAGGGAGCAGCGTGAACCGCGTCTCTTCGTCGCCAGTCAAGCCAAAAGTGACGCAAGTGCCGCTGGTGAACACGCAGAGGAGCCGCAATTCGTCCGTCCACGTCATGTCCACGAGCGCTTCCCGTGCCGTGTCAAAAGGTGCCCAATTCACAGCGCCTAGTCGCTGTCCACAGGCGGTAAAGAGGAGCAGCTCATGGGGAGATAAGGACGTGTCGGGCCCGGCGACCTTAAGCTGTTTTTTCACGTCCCGTAAAAGCGCGATAGGACCTCCATAAGGGGCACAAGCCACGAGGTAGTCGCGGAGATCCACGACGTTCTGGGAGGCCCAGTCCATGGCGTAGAGGGACCATTTCTGGTACTGGACTTTGCCGAGCGTATGCCATTCGGTCTCCATGGCTGCAAGAGCGAGAGGAGGAGGAGAGTGAGCGGCTCGGGCTGGAAGAGAGGAGCGGGGATTTGGGTGCTATGTGGGATGCTATGCTGCGGAATCAGGGATTACGGGCGGCTCGAGCAGCTGCTATGCTGTGTATAGAAATCATGGGCTTTTAGAAATTGAGGTGCGGTTGTGATAGTAGTGGTAAGTAGTAGTTTGGCGGAGGTGGTGGTGGTGGTTGCAATTGTAGTAGTAGCTGCCAGATTGTAGTAGTAGTAGTAGTAGTAGTGGCAGAATTGGACTGGAATAGTAGTGGTCATACTACAGAACACACATGGCTGGATTCTAGCATTCAGCTCCTTTCAATAGTCATATGTTACCACGAGTGACGAGATCGAACACCATCATCCTACTATTTTGATTGATCGACAGGTCACCTGCTCCATTGTCACTCTAAAATGCTCCTTCAAATGCTTAGCTAGTAACGTGTCTTGTCACACTTGACGCCACGTGCCATAATCCCCAAGATCCTGTGGTCCAAAGCTCATGCGCATCGACTTCCGAAGCGCCGGTTCGCGGTACAAATCGCTCGAGTTCGCGTCAGGTTCTGCCAACAGGTCCGAGTCATTTCTCGACGGGAAGACCAAGAGCGGCGACAGCTCATTCACTGGTTCTAATGGTCGTGGCGGTCCAGCTCGAGCTTCTTCATCACCCGCAGGAGGTTCCTCAGACTCACACGGTTCTCGAGCACCATTTTCGTCTACCGGCTGGAGGCTCGAGTGCAGCACGTGCAGCGGGAACTCGCTCGACTTGGTTGTTGTACTAGCACCTTGTACACTAGTGCTGCTTTTTTCCAGGCACGTGAAGTCGCTGCGTACAATCATGTGGCGCTGCTGCTCCTTGTCGCGCACGTATCCCCACAGCGCGACAATGTATGTACCCATGAGTAACACGAGCACCGCAGCGCTTTGTGTCGTTGTGCCCCGTTCAAGAATGAATCCACTCATAGCACCGAGGTACAAAAGCAGACTTACACACGTAGCATGGGTCGCCGTGCGAGCGATGCTACCGCGTCCCTTGATGCGACGCCGCACATTCAACAGCGAATACTTGTCCACGCTATGCTGCATCGCAAAGTACAGCGTGCCCAGAGGAAGAATAAGTGGCACAACAGTGCTGAACATGAGCACTACAGTCAGCGTACTGATCTGCACGGCCGACTGCGTGCCCGTGTAAAATTGGTCCGCTTCTACAGCCTGCACTTGCTCCCGCGGCGTCAATGCACGCGGCTTTGCCCACGAGAATTTCACGTACTCTGTAGCACGCAGCAGAACAAGAGCTGTACCCAAGAAACAGCGCTGGAGGATATAGTCCACGTAGAAGATGCCGGAGTTGTGCAAGAAAAGCGTACCAAGCATACCCAGCACCTCGCCGTCGTCCTCCAAGTACAAGATTACGGCATCGATCGACATGAACGCCAGACTTGGTACAAAGATGGTGTTGAAAATCAGGTACACGGAGGCCGTGCGCAAAATCAACCGTTCCTTGGCCGAGTCCGTCGAGATGGGCTGGATTCGCCCAGCCATCTGCAGCACATTCAGCAGTACTGCGTTGATCATCACCAGGATAAGCGTGGGGATGTAGCTTGCCAGCAACTTGGCCATCGACGGAGATATTCGCTTGAGCAACTCACCGAGCTGTGCTACAAAGTCTGACAGCGATTGAGCCGCGTTGGTGGAGTACGATGAGCTGCTGGAGATGGCCGATGTTACGGCAATAGGAGATGTGAATAGCAGTAGTACCACGAGAATGCACACATTCACCAACAACACCACCACCGTGCGCTTCGCGAAAGGGAACGACACACTCTGCCAGTCAATGTCATCAGGCTCAGGGGCTGCCCCCAGCTGCCAGCGCGTAAGTCCCAGCTCACGAACGTACCGCACAAGTCGCGGCTGCGCATGCTCTGGAAAGCGAGCAAGGATGGACGTGATACTCTGGTTACGCGCCCGGCGAACAAAACGGGCTCGGAGTCTCGCGGACTTGAATATCACAAACGCACGCCCAGCGCCCTTGTTCTCATGCAAAATGCGAGACAAGCACGTCATCTCGTCCTCTCGGAGCTTCTCAATGTGGCATGCAAGTCGTGCCTCCTGCTCCTCCATAGGAACAGGTTTTAAGCACCACTTGAGACAACAAAACAAGTTCGCCAACATCAAGCGTAACGACGGGATCATCATACCACCCGGCAACAAACGGAGCGACCACGACGGCTTCTTGCCAGTAAGCTCACGCTCGTGCAGAATCTTCATCCGTGCCAGCTGTACTTCTTCATTACGTCGACGAGCTTGCAGTTTGTGGAACTCGGCCAGATTAAACACAACGCTCACGTCTTCGACGTAACCAGGAAACACCTCGTTGAGCAGACGCAACATTCGTTGCTCGCGAAGGTTTTTCGGCACTCCACGGTCCACAAAGAGCGACCTGTTGCTAAGTGTAGACGGTTGCATTCCAATGAGATGTGTGCGCTTCGGTGGACGCGATTGCGCTTCTTCCAATACAGCTCCATTTTCCTCAGTCTTCTCCTGGATAAGCAAAGGACGATTCTCTCCGTCCGCCCTGTCTTCCTTCTTAGTCGACGAGTCGACATCTTCCAGCGTCGTAGCTTCGTCTTTTGCAATAGTCGACGGATCGACTTCTTCTCCAGCCGGTTGGTCCACCGCAGCCACACTAGCTGCATTAGAAACGACAGATGACGACGAGCGATGCAATAAGCGCCTATCACTTCCATTCCCTCGACTGGAATCGGTCGGCATCGTCGCCAACGCGCTCAATTTTCGATAGTAAACTACAAACACCAACGTCGTCACGTAACACGTGACAACCGGTACCCAAAGGTACGGTGACTCTTGCGGCATGACTCGGATCGTCGCATGCGCGAACGACCACCACTTGGTGTCACTTGTACTGCCCCTGTCACTAGCGCTCGCAGCAGCCTCGACCGTCCCTTGATCCGTCGTCCGAAAGTCGCTCGTAGCAGCTCGAGAGCCGTCAGCAATGGCTTCAATGCCCTTTGCCGCAGCCTTTGCAGCTGCTTCTACTTGGGGCATCGCATTCGCTCCAATTGTAAGGTACAATGGCAGCAACACGAGCATAGCAAACACACTGAGGACGCCCAGGAGTCGCGCCGTGTACTGCTGATACAGCAAGTAGAACGTGCCTTCAGGTCCGAGACGAAGCTCCACGTCCGTGCCCCGAATCGGCGTGCCCCACAGCAGCTCCCTCCACTTGTGGAGCGTAAATTTAGCAGCTTCTCGCCCTTGAAGCGACAAAATCGAGCTCGAGCCAAAGCGAAAGAGACTGAAGCGCGTGCTGCGCGCCCGTGCCTGAAAAATCGCAAGTGCGATCAGAAAGAGGACCCCGTTAAAGCTGAGGACGAACCCCATTCCCTGCCAGCCCATGGCCGCATCTTTGGCCACCGTCGCATTGTAGTCCACGTGCCAAATATTGTTGGACGGCGTCACGTTCGAGTTCATGCTTTTTACCAACTGAGCCAAATCATGATTTACGCTTGGATCGGAAGTTACAAAGATAGATAGAAAAAAAGCGGTATTCGATTTAAGAGGGGCGGCGAGCAATCATTTCTTACCAGCGGAACTTCGGTGCTTTTTTATCGAACTCTTCACGACTTTTTTTCTAACGGATTCCTCAATCGCAGTATCCTTGTGTCACGTAATCGATTCTGAAACAACGCACACTGTATTTGGTTTGTTTTGTTTTCATCCCTAGGACCGAGACTTTAATTGCAAATGTATACCATCCAACAACTAGAGCGATCGCGAAAAGCGCCTACTGCTGCCTTGTCGTGCCCGAGAGCGGCTTCACCCACCTCGTGCTTACAGCACCTTCTTGTTCAGCGCGCGCGACGTCTGGTGGATGAGTTGGTCCACGATCCCAATGACGGTAAACACACCACCAATGATAGCGCACGCCGAGGTGAGAAAGTGGTAGAACGGCACAGTGTCCTCCGAGATACGCACCGACATGGGCGAGAGGTCGTAGCGAAACATGATGGACGGCAAATCCTCCGTCTCCACGTACTCGTTCGAGTGCGCCGTGTACTTGTACACGTTAATCGACGAACTGTCGCTCTGCACGTACGCGTTCGTGACCACCTTAATGTAGTGCACGTACGTGTGGTTCTTGTTGAACGACGTGAACTCCTGGTTGTCCAGGCGGTGCATGTACAGCTGCGTCTGCGCCATGTGCGGCAACTTGGCCATGTCGCGAGGAGACAGCTCCTCGCCGAACCACAGCCCCCCCACCGTGTGCGACGCATTCACCAACGACGAATCCATCGAGTAGGCCGGATTCGATAAGTGCACGTGGAAGTTGCCGGGCACGCGCTTGACGTACAAGCGACCGTACAGACGGCATCCTTCGGGACCAATCGCTGAGCGAGCAATCGCTCTGCCTTGCTCGTGCGCAGCTTTCTTGTCTTGCTCATGGAACTTCTTCTTGAGAGCTTCCACACCATCCACTTCGCCAGCCATGAGCTGCTTGAACTTGTCCACAAAGGCTTCGACTGTCCGGTCACCAAAGTACATTTCGACAGGCGACGTATCTCCATCCTTGTAGAACAAAATACTCGGGTACGCACGGATATAGTGCTTCATGCAGAGCTCTGGGTGCGCCTGGCAATCCACCGATGCAACCCGCAGCTGCTGTCCGTAGTGCAGCGACGGCAGCGTCTTGGCCACGCGCGTCCACACGGGCTCGAGCCGCTTGCACCAGACACACCACGGCGCATAGAAGTCGACTGCGACGAAGTGATGCTCCTTCAGAAACGGCTCAAACGTCTCGTCAGTCAACTCCGTCACCGTCGCATCCGACTCGGGCAAGTCGCCGTACTCCTCATCTTCTGCGAACCGCGGCATAATCTGCTTCTCCCGTGCCAGTCCGACGCCTCGGCCCTTCTGGTCCAGACGGATCTTGAAGATGTTCGACGTCATGTTGTGCTTGCGTGTACCCGTCATGTCCGACACGTCCACGGTCGCAAACTCGCAGGGCAAGTCCGGGACCGTGATGTTGAAGTTGATGCGCATCGTCTGGTCCAGTCCTTCGTCCATGACAATGTCGTACTTGTAGTCGACCGTCAAGTAGCTGTTGAACTCGAGAATGAAGAGGACGAACATGATGAAGCAGCCGAGAATGGACAGACTCACGCCCGGTAGCGTGCTCACGGTCAGATCCTGCAACAACAAGGGAGATTCAAGATAACAACCAAGTAAGATCAGCAACGGCATCGAGGCATTAACAGGTTAGGAAGAACAGGGCGTGGCTAGCATTGTACCTCGGGGATCTTCTTGTAGAAATCCCACTTCTTCAGCACGTCCATCGCGCCCATTCTTCAGATCTTCTACTTCTTCTTTCTTGCTCCTTCGCGATCGAGATAGACACGGTCTGCGGCTGCAGAGAACACACAAAACAGTGGGTGCGCTCTTTGGGAGCTCCTGGGCCAAGGGACTGATTAGGATTGTGTGCGTTGTGTGGCCCGCGTCTTACGTGGCGATCGCTCAAAGGGGGTTGACGGCTGTATCGGATTTGACAGGGACCTTTTGCTCACGCCACAAAAAGATCAACCCATCGCCCCAACCTCGCACTTCTCCGGAGCTCCACGATACTGCCCACTCGCTTCTGAACATGTCGCAAAAAAAGACCAGCCGACCCGACAATCACTCTGCAGCAACAATAACAAACGCAACCACGCAACAGCAACGGCGCGACTTGTGACGTGACTTCGCTTCTGCTTCGTGCTCTGTATGGTCTTTTGCGGTGAGTGCGGGTCGCCGCTGTCGGCCGACGATCTGCAGTCGCCCACGTGTCCCCATTGCGGTGCGTACGAACGTGCTTGTGCTCGATCTGCTCACGCTTGCGCTGCCTCTCGTGTCGCGCATTGCATCCCTGTCTAATCTGATACGGGTCTGTGATATTCCATTTCGCAGGTGAAACCCGTCCGGGTGCAGATTGCGCGCCCGTACAAGCGACATTCCCGTCGCCCGCCAACGATGCGATGCAAGCGCTGGCTGAGTACGAGGCGCAACAGCGCGCGGCTGTAGAGCACGCGAACGCGCGTCGACAAGCAGAGCTCGAGGCGCAGAGACAGCAGCATCTGGAGGTGGCGCAGGCTGCGCGAGCACGACGCGAAGCCGCGGAGCAGGAGGCGCAGGCGAAACTTGCGAGAGCCGCGAAGCTGCGGGCGGAAGCGCTCGTGGCGCAGGAGGAACTCGAGAAACAGGAGGCGAAACGCGCGTTGAAAGAGCGACAGCGCGAGGAAAGTCGGCGATTGCGAGAGGAGCAGCTACGACGAGAAGCCAAGCGGCGCGAGGCACAGGAGGAAGCGCGTCGAGTGTTCGAAGCCAAGCGGGTGGAGGAGCAACGGAGTGCTCAAGCCAAGCAGGACGAGGACCGACTGCGACTCGAAGCCATGCGACTGTCGACATTGACCGAGTCGGCGGCTGCTCTTGTTGCTGTGACTTCAGCTGCTAGGGCGGTTACTGCAGTCGCGCCTGCAACTATCGCGTGTGTGCAGTGCCACGCATCGCTAAAAGCTGCGCAGAAATTCTGTTTGCAGTGTGGCACAAAAGTGGCTGCTGCTGTTGCTCCTGTAGCTGCTGCAGTCCCGTCTAGCAGTAGCTGGTCATCGCCTGCAGCTCCAAACGTTCTCAGCAGCAGTCGTTTTGCTGAGCCACTGCAGCGAACACAATCGTCGCTGTCAAATTCGTCGTCGTCGTCGTTTTCTCTTTCAGGTGGCGATCATAAGTGTGCGACGTGCAGTTTCACACTCAAAGCGACGCAGAAGTTTTGCCCGAAGTGTGGATCAAAGGTAGTCGGTGCTGCACTGCCTCTTGCTCCAGTAGCAGTCCCGTCACCTGTGTCATCTGTTAGCTCGGTCTCCTCTTTCTCGGCTATGGAGTTTGCTCCGACAACGTCAAATACTTGCACCGGATGCAGCAAGTCTGTGAAGCCGATGCAGAAGTTTTGCTTGCACTGTGGAACGAAGGTGACGGCCGTTGCGGAACCTGCTGCCATGGGCTCAAATTTGCCGTCGTCGTCGTCGTCGTCGTCGTCGTCATCGTCATACACTACTGTGCCGTTGCCTGCCCCAATCCCTACATTTGGATCTCAAGCGGAGCCCGCTCCGCAGCCCAGCAGCAAAAATTGTCCGACATGCAGCAAAGAGTGCAAGTATGGAGCTAAATTTTGCATGGGCTGCGGCTTCAATTTTGCCAAGAGCGACGAAGAAGAAGTCGCACGTAACATGGAAGCTGCACGTCTACGCCGACAGGGGGTTCGTGACCAAGAGCAACAGCAGCGTCACCAGGCTTCACTTATGGCCAACCAGGCTGCACAAGCGTTTCAGCCGTCCTGGTGAGTTGAGCAGTCTGATACTTGTGGACTGTCGAGTCGGTGTCTCCGTAGACGCGTTGTCGGGGAACAGGTCAGAGACTGTGAGTAAACATCAATTTGTGTGGACCTGAAAGCTAATTGCCGATTCGCTGTTCGTGCTAATGTTGTCTTCTGGATCCGTAGACTCGCAAACTGCACCTTGCTACTAACTGTTCCTCGTCAAAGTTACGGCGTGTAGGTTGTCGATATTCGAAGAGGTTAGTTCGCGTACGTTGGGCGACCCAGACAAAAGGACCTGACCACTCGCAAAAATGTATATTCGATCTCGGTCGAGCGTCATTCGACCGTGCACACAAGTTGAGTTAGAGTATGGTATCAGCCTTTGTCACTACAGCAATAAGCTTTTTAATGGCTGCGGCCTGGTCCTCGATCATTGTGGTCTGACGCTTGATCATTGCAGTTTGCTGCTCAAGAAGCTGGATCATTCGATCACTCTTGGAGTGGCTTCTTTGTGTAGCGCTTTGCTGCTGCTGCTGCTGCTGTGGCTGCAACGTCTCGGCAGACATTGCAGCCATTTGCTGCTGATACTGCTGAAAATGCTGACCGTACGTTTGCTGCTCCAACGCGTTTATTGTCATTTGCTGGAGCTGTGACTGGTCTGGATCTAGACTCGTACTGTCGTCATCTATTGTCGCCGTCTCTGCGAGCGTAGGTGGTTTTTCCTCCACCAAGATACCGGTGGACAAGTTAAATCGCTTGCAAAAGTTGTAGTACCATCCATTGGACGCCTGGAAGTTGCCTAGTCCATACTTGGGCACCAAGAGCTTTGCCTTCTCCTTCACAAGAGACGGTGGGACTGGCACTTTCCGCGCTTTCAGACCTCGCACCCACTCGAACAACTCTCGTTCAAATGGCACACTCAATACATGTCCTCCTCGTTTACGTCCATCTCTGGTGTCGGCACTGCCGTAGCGGTACCGAGCCCGCACTTCTGCCCCTTTCTGCTTTAACTTCTGAATAGCCGCACGAGTAATGCCGTAACGCCTTGCGATCTCGGCGTTCGACAAACTGCCGCTGCTTTTCTCCAGCAAGTCCAAGATCTCGACACGCTGTCGATCCGTCAGTCGCTTTCCAACGCCTTTTCCCTTTTTAGACGTCTCCAGAGCCGGGATCGACACGTCCAGATGCGTGGCTGAGACGTCGTGCTGCATCAATTCCAGCGTCTTGTTGTAGGTTGGAGAGGCGTTTGCGGAGTCGAGAACGAGCGTAGCCGACGATGGAGCGTACGCTGCGAGATGCGCATTGGCTGGAAGTTGCGCAGACTCTGCAGTCGCCTTGTTGGTCGTGGATGACTGCATAGATTGCGTCGACCTACTGAAATCCGAGTTGAGGTAGCCAGCCATACAAAACCTGTCGTAGCGTATACTTACCCATCCTGGTATACTTCCTCAGAGGATATCCGTGGAGGGAAAAGTATTATTCCCAGAGAGGAGGAAAATGAGCAATCGGGATGAGCATCATTCTCTCTTTGGTTATACGATGCCGCCGAGGTCACTTGCACAGTAGGGACATTATCCGAACGACTAGTCCGCTTTCGGTCCGCCTGGAGTATCACTGACGCTTTTCTTCGAACAGCCAAAATCACACGCATCATCCGTGCTGCCGTCTGCTGCGGCCGTATGTGGAATTTATACACAAAACATCGTCCGTTACGCGAGAATACGGACCCTGGACGATGACTTTATTGCACAACACTGCAATCGGTGATGGTCATCCTGGCGATGCTCAAGCGACAGCGATCAAAGCGACAGTCGTACCTTGTGGGTAAAACCCCACAATACCTGTCGATAACTCAGCACATTTACTCTTGGCCAAGCATCCTCGTTTTTTGCATCTAACAAACACGCCAACGCAAGCCATTTCGCATTCCAGTATTGAGTCTCATTCTCTCATTCACAATCCAGAGCACCGATGACCTCTTCACCACCACCTCTAAGAAATTTCTGATCTTGCTTACTGATCGTTCAGAGGCTTTCGCACTCAAAGCCGAGGATTGCGCTAGACCTTCAGATTCATACGTTGCCGTTCTAACCTAAATGCAGCCGCACGCCTGGTACACAGAATGTAGCTGCCGTCGTCCTGTTTTATACGGTCGAAAGGCCAAAGATTTCTCGTATTTTACAAAGGCTGGCAGCGCTGTCGATGCAACATCGTGTCAGGAACGTGTTCCGATCGCTCGGCAACATACATTTCTTCGTTATGATGATGAGGACGTTTATCGTGTTGCGTGCATCATATGGTTTGTGCGTGAGCAAATACTGAACGCGGATAGTCATATTGGCCTCTTCCTGAATGGTGCAATATGTGTTCAGTAGATGGTCCCGGCAAGCATTCTCCTGTTATTCGCATACTTTCCGGTACGCTGCACGCTTCGTTTCGATGGCGCATACCACTAGTTATGCTTTCGCATGTGAACTTCTGTGAGAGCTGTCTTAATGTTGCATGATACGAGCCTACATCAAAAGAGCCTCCTGATGTGCAGTCAGGTCATCATTGCTCTACGAGTCGCAGAGCCGCCAAGTCTAACATTCATCCAGCTTCGATTACCCGTTGGATGAGACAGAGATTGCTACGAAAATAACGTCGTGCAATATACGACCGAGCTTGCTATTGCCCAAGTTACGTCATTGCAAGATATGATCACGCGCCCACATACTACACCGAGTATTACTATCAAGGGTATTCTCATTCTTCCCAAAATTACAAAGCAGGAGCGACCCATAATCGTGTTTTGCCAGCGCCAAGTCAAGCTCAGTCGCCCACGTTTCTAAGAGCATGCACCCAGCGACCTTCAGTAGCGGCCATCTACTCGTCGCGCGCGCCTGGACGCGGCAATGTCGATCCTTTTCGCAGCAACCTCTGCGACGCTGGGAAGAGGTCTCGAGCAACCAACGTCCATCTCGAGCACAGCCATCCGCGTCCAAGCGGCTGCAGCTGAACGGTCGGTCGTACCTCGTGCCCACACTGACTGTGTGTAACGTGGTCGGCCGAGACGCTGCTGCACCATTGCAGCCGCTTTTCCACGCCAGGGCCAACAAGAGACGTACGCCAATAGTAATGGACCTGCACCAAGTCTCAAGTGACGGTGCGTCGTTTTTTGTAGCATTTCTAAATTGCAATTTTGGTGATGGGGTATACGTATATAGATAAATAGAGAGAGAGAGGGATTGCGATAGTAATAATCGTGAGGCACTGCTGATACAAGTGAGTGACATACCCGTTGACTACAGGCTCGCCGCATTCGCAGTCGATCAAGAGACATGAGCTGAAGCACCAAATCGTGCAACTTCAGGTTGAACCAAGCCAGTACGTGTCGTTGTTTGTAGTCTACCCGAGTGCTGAGCCCTGATGTATGTCGCAGGAAGCTGGGTATGTACCGGTAGGCATTACGAATGCCAGTGATGACGTCAAGCAGACGGCAGCAGCTCTTGATCTGCCCTATTTCATCAGTACGAGGCTTCACCAGGAGCAGCTAGGAGAAGACGCAGTTGCAGATACAGAAGAAGCGGTAATGCAAGATGAAGTGGCCGCTTCGAGGCCGGCTCAGGAGACAGCGGAGCGGCTTCCTCCTATGGTCGTGACCCGTTTGGTGCGTTCAGGTCAGCAGATTTATGCTCAGAACAGGTCACTTGTTGTGCTCGGCAACGTGAGTTCTGGTGCTGAGGTGATGGCGGACGAAGACGTGGTCATTCTGGGTGCACTAAAGGGCCGCGCACTCGCTGGCATTGGTGGCAACGTTCGAGCGACGATCGTGTGCCAGAGTTTTGATGCTGAGCTCGTTTCCATCGCGCATTGTTTCACGACGTGTGACGACTTGGAGCAGGATGATGCGGCACCCTTGCAGCTGCACAAACCGACGGTGATCTCGTTGAGGAATGACCGGCTGGTATTTGAGTCGTCAGCGGTGTGATGGAATGAGGGAATTGATTGCACAAGTAAAGCTCGGTGCCGCGTGATTATCTACTTCTGTGCTCATGTGCTCAAGTCGGTGGCTCGCAGCTGTTCTTCTCCTACTCACTTTTTGACCATAATAAATACTGTTGTACACGCTATGCTACAAAACTCAAGTGATCTCATCTACAAAGCTCTGCTAGAGCTCACTGCTCCGTGTCCAGTTCATAGAACCTCGGTAACCTTCGCACTTGTTCACTGCATCTTGTAAGCGACGGCGGTACTCGAATGAGCTCTGGCAGTCAAGACCACAAAAAGCGCTCGTGTCCATTGCAACCGAGAGTGGTCGGAAGAAAAGCAGTCCACAATTGTGACACGTGATCTGCGCTGCCTTGCGTTGTGCCTGAGTCCTGAATCTCGGTTGCGTCGAAACTTCAGCAGCCATTGACTCCCCCATCTCCTTGCTACATTCCTCGCACGTGTCAAGCTTTCTCCATACAGGACCGTGCTGCCAATGGCTCGACACGAGCGAGTCTTCTACTGTCTTTGGTGTTGCTTGACTCTCCATATCAACGGGACATGAACACGCTCTTGGCCGCAGATGCAGTCGACGCTGCAAAAACTGCCACGCACGCAAGTAAATGCTGCGCTTCTGGCCAGTGTCGTCATCAACGATGCACGTGCTCGTGCTACTGGCTGTTGTGGGGCTGCACATGGTCAAAACGTGAGGCTTGCGGGTTGAATCCAAACTTGTGGGTTGAATCCAAAAAAATGAGCAGCTCCACCAGCTCCGGTTCGACCACTTTCTTCCCTTGGCGAGACAGGGAGGAGTCGCGAGAGAATCCGCTTCTTCTCGAGGAGAATTTCATCACTGACGAGTGCTGACGTAGTACCTCCCTTGCAAATTGCGACACGCGCAAGTATCCAAGGACGCTCCTTTCCCATGTTTACGATGATTTGCCATCAGTCGCTTTGCGTAAACAAAAAATCGCCAGCTGGTTTCGAGGAACTTGCAGACCCGCGTGTCGGTATTCTACCGGTATCTATCGGTCTTTTAATAAAGGTCGCCGCAGCCGACAATGTCCTTATTTAATGTGCACCACATTTCTCCACTGGCACGACCAGGACTTACGCATATCTCAAGCGGTACTTTAGGCTCAAGATGGTCCACTCATTCCTGCGCTCACGCCGTCTATTGTCGTCGCTAGTGGCACCTGCTGCTCTCCTAGCTACGTCTCCTGCACGTCTAGAAGCTGATAAAGAAGAAGAACGACAGCAACAGGAACGTGGGGCGCCACCCGCTGTGGACTTGATTGGGGTCTTTGTCCAGAGCGAGTCGGCTGCGCGACTGCGGGAGCGGTTTCCACGCACTTGTGATTGCAAAGACACGCCGCTCGTGGTGGTATTGCGCTATCAACCTACAGTTGAAGAGCAAGAGGCGTTTGCGCCTATTTTAGGCACAAAAGCCAAGTTGCAAGTTCAGGGGGTGGTCGAAGACCCTTATGCTCAGACGGTGGGTAGGTTTATGGTGGACGAAGCCCTTTTTTTGGGTCACTGGACCATGTGGTAAAACGAAACGCTTTTTGTCGGTTGTTGCTTTGTAAATAATGCTTTTTTTGTGTCATGGCGTAGCTTCTCGTGGCTGTGACGACCGAGGCGGGGGACTCGCTGGAGTACGAAGGAGCTGCAGAGCCTGCGCACTTGACGCTGTCGACGCCAATTGACGCACTTGGTGCTTCGGGCTACTCAAGTGTCTTGCTCGAGCGGCTGCGCGCGAGTGACAAGCTTCAGTACTTGCTGAACAAGGACGAGACAGTGACGCAATGGACGGGCACCCTCCCTGAGTTTATCTCCAAGCATTTGCCACTTTACGGTTCATTTCCAGCGGTCGAAGCTTCGGTCAAGAAACTGGACACGGAGCTAACGCTGGAAGGCACTGTGTGTCTCTTGTCGAGCTTTGATGCAGCTACGGGCACGTGCTTGGCACCAAAAGCTGAGTGTGGCTTTTGCAAGTTTATGAAAGCTGGGCCCTGTGGGCGCGAGTTTGTAGCGTGGGAGAGTTGCTTGGACCAGTGCAAGAAGAGCGGAGAGGACTTTATTGAAACGTGTGGACCGCAGACGCTTGGACTGCGCGACTGTGTGGACGCGCACCCCGAGTATTACCACGTGCTGACCGACGATGGTCCAGAGGACGAAAACGAACAAGAAGAGATGATGGCGACGAAGAAGAAGATGGAGCAGGAAAATGAGGCGACGGCGACGAAGAACGAGCAGTGAGTCTTTCTTTTCGTCTACGATGCATCGATCCGGCTGTTGGCAAAATTGGTCAAGCAATTGCAGCTGCTGTTTGGTCTCGCTTGTATGTGGACTGAGAAGGCTTGACGAGCTGGAAGAGATCGGCAAAGGGTTTTTACGATCCGAAAGTAGCATGAAAACGCGCCGGTTTGTTTGAAGAGGGGCATGCTGTGATTACTTCTTATGTACTCCTCTTAAGGTGTCTATTGTTTTGGGTCTTTGTCTAACAAAAGCGCACGTATGCACACCTACGTAACGTTTCCCATTCCGATTACGGTCATTTATGAGATACCGATGGCATTGTGTATCGACTTACCGTACAAATGTGGTAGTTGTGCTCTCAGAAAGTGAGGCCATTAATATAGGAAGTGAGAGCCATTGATATCGAGAAAATCGACATGTCAAAGGTGCAGAAGTACATGTGTAAGTAAACACAAGTGATTACAAGCTGAATTGCGTAGTTAAAGTCGCTTATGTTTTATCCACGTTGTGTACTAGTACCTGGTTAAAAACCATTATGCTAGCCGTTGGTAAGTTGTGGTCGCGTGCGTCACTCACGGCTTTCTTAAATACCTAAGGTTGGTTGTACTATGTAGCAGAAACAACAGCAACACGAAAGCGAACGCAAGATAAATAGAGTCAAACGCGCAACAAAACAAAAGCTTTCACGCTCATACACCTGGTCCAGCATAGTACTGATATGACCTCAACACCTTCGTCGTAAAAAATACTTGGCTTTCCGCTAGCTTGAAGTACGTACGTAAGTGGCTGCATCAACAGCAGCAGCAATAATTATAACACTAAAAGAAAGACACATCGTGACACAAGTATAGTAAAAAAGAAGTCACCGTAGAACAACATTTTAGCACGTACTGCTGGTCTAGCATAAGTATGAAGACTATGACGGATTCGTCGTATGAACAGCTTGAGTTTCCGTAGCTGAAGGTATTTGAATGGTAGCCCTTACTGCTTATGTCGGGGCAAGCGTACGCCTGCATCTTTCTCGCTACAATTTTCTTCCATCAGTGATGATCACCATTGTAATTCCTCTTGGGATCAAACTCGCTGGATTTCCCACTCGACATTTTGCTGCTTGTCCCGACCCATTGCTTGCCCGGTGCCATAAAGCAGAACGTTCTTGTATTTGTTCAGTTGGTTGTATGCAGTTTATGAAATGTGATTGACAGAATATTGTTGCCTGTGGATGAATCTTAAGTGTCTATAGCCGTAGTATTTGATTCCATAGCTTTTCCCAGTACTTGTACATCCGCCAGCACAAATTTCCAATACTAGTGCCTGTCTCACATCTAGTACTAGCACCTCATGATATTGTTTGGATCTGAACTACTATACATCCTATAGTCAACATGACTGAAGACACGCACCCCCTCATCGACATGCGCTAACTGTATGGGATGACAGAGCTGTAGCTAGGGCAAAGGTTCAAAATTGGCTTTAAAGAAGCCACACAATTTCTTCACGGCTACTGCTTGAATACAATTAAAAGTTACGTGATGACAATCGTCAGTGGTAAGTGCAACAAATATAATCGTGGTGACATATCATTTGAGTGGGAGGTGCGCGTAAGTCGGCGAGTTGATGGAGCTGTGTTTAAGACTTAGTTACTCGCTTGTCTTCTGCAGCACAATTGAAAAGTATATTATCGTTCAGCTTTCTCTGTCGGTCTCACTTGCTTGTTGTAGTTCTGCAAACATGTATATGTACTAGCTATTAGAACTGTGTATTTAGAAGCCCACACAAGTGCAACATAGGTGTCTTACCATCCGTGATAACATAGTCGTCCAGTTGAACCCGCATCGTCCCAACACGCATGTTACCAATCGAAGTAGGACAATGCTGTAAGCAACATCGTCTCGTTACACTTTGTACGCCTCGACGCTGAACAGTAACCATTACGACTTCTATACCTCTATCGCGAAGCCAAACCAGCGACAAATTTGCTTACTACCAACATTTTAAGCTGCAATCCGTGGTGACAGGAATATGAAGCGCAAGTCCTTGGTTTCACTTTTTTAAGTTCGTAATCATGCAAACATGGAAGCGTTCAGATCGAAGCTTTACGGAGCAAAAGATGCCTTCGTCGACATGATTGATGGCGAGTGGAATTCATCGTTCAAGAAGGTTTCCTACTTGCTGGGGAAAGTTTGCGAAGTCAACCCCGGGTACGACCGCACGACTCGATGTAGACCAACGCTGTCGATTTCTACGCTGTTTTTTACGTATTTGGGGTGACGGTGCACAGTCAGCCAAGCATCATCCCACTTCTTGGCTTCGACGGAATGCACTCAGGGCACCCCAAGTACATGTCATTGCTATTTCACTTGTACGCAGAGATGAAAACGGTCAAAGTATCACTTTTGCGACGGCGCTCGTCAACGTCGAGAGTAAACGTAACGCACGGTGGTTTCTCGAAATTAGCGGAAAAGCAAGTATTTCAATGAATGAACGGCTAGTATTTTGCGATCGCGGTAGCATTTGAGCAGCTGTGTCTAAACTATGCAGCTCTTCAAATGTAGTGATCACGCCCCGCTTATTGACAGTATACATAGCACGCAACCAAAATAATCTACAAGGCCGTTGCAACGTGAATGCGAAAATGAGGTATGGGAGGGACGGGCGGCGAAAAGGCAGCAAGATTTCAAGATGAAATTTTGGCCATTCGAGTGGAGTTTGGTGATGCAGTTTATTCATATTTTTCCGGTATCAATCCCAGCAGCTGGACTGTTCACACAAAAATGACCACGATCACACCATCCCTGCACGTGGAGGTATTCAATTGCCACATTCTTTGCCTATGTTAGGCTGGCAAAGCTCTGATTTCGTCGATAGTGACAACATCGCTATCGCAAATAATGGTATAAGAGACTGAATGCCTTACGACGCTACTTTTAAACTTGCTAGCGTTAAAATGGATCGCGCAATCCAGTGTGATATTAACGCTCGTCAATGAATTTGAACAGGCTGCACTCTTACTTCCTTTGCATAACTTATTTGGGATCAAGGAACGCTCCCGTTCTGCCCAATATGCGGTGCGACGGGCCACGAGTACTGTCTACTTCGTCTCCTCTCCAGAATCCTTCAATATTCGTAGAGTGGATGCAGCACAGTCCTCTCGTTCTTATCCGACATCTGACCAGTTTAGTATTGTGTGTCGTCATTAAGCCGCTGGTCTTCACGCTTTTCTGGACAAAGGAAGTAGATTAATCCAAACACGGGCCTTACTGGAGACGCGCAATTGAACCCATCCCCGACTTACAAACAATCTGGACGTCCACGCAAAAGAAGCATTTCTAGCGCAGGCAAGACCGGATATCGTTCCAGAAATGTCAGTCGAACGTGTCATCGAATCGGTCACAGCAGAATTTCGTGTCATCGCCACGCCAACAAAGCTGAAGATGTAAATGTATCCCTCATGCAATCAATGTGGATTCGCCAACTTTTGTACAGTTCTCATGTAACACGGGAGATGTCATTCAAAGTGAATAAAGCACTCATAGTGTGTATTTTCCATTGAACACCAGATCGAATAGATTTTGAGCGGTGATCTGTACTATATCAAATTTAATTTTATCTCGAATCTCTGGCTCACAAAAGTGTCTCAATGAGTCTAAGTGTAGGTTTGAAAATCTTAAGACCCCTTTTCTTAGCTGAGCCAATTACGCTTGAAAACTGTCTATCGTGAAGCAAAAAGCTGACAAACAACACGGCTTGTACGAGATCGTACATTGTCAGAGTTAAGTCACGTGTATCAACGAAGGTTTAGCTAGTGACATGATATAAGTGAAAGCTCGACATGAATTTTATAGCTGCACATGATTCATGCCGGTTTCTTATTTGGTGTCACGTGTTGAGAAAGCTTGATGAAGAGCACATACAAACAAAAACTACACAGTGTGCTACAGGCTTAAGACTTCATCATACCCAGATTTGTAGCTGCCTTCCCATATTAATTTTACTCTTCTTACCTCTTTCTAAACACTAATGTCTGTCGTAAGCGACAGATGTCGGCAATATTGGAAAAAAAACATCGACACAAAATAATTACATGTCAATTCCATTGCTAGGTACTCCCTTCGTACCTAAATCAGCCGCACGAGTACGCATAGGACCGGATTTGAAATTAGAGTCACCACCTTCAGACCTCAGATCATCTAACGTCATATTATCACTCCTGATTGCGGAATTTGGCTGTAATAGGTAGCACCAACATAGAATTAAGTTAGTGCTGTTCGTCAATCAAACTTAATGATTGCTTCTCCAAATGGCTGTCACAGTTGGAAAGTTATACAAACAAAAGATCGCCTCTACACGGGAAAAACCGCACCTACTCTTAGACATTTTTACAGTAGCTAAATACGAACATCCCGTCACAGTAAACTTTCAGTTTAGCGCACTCTTCTTATTGACTGTGGTCACCCTCTATTTCTCCTCGGTGACTCGTGACTGCTAAGCTTAGCATCATTCCTTCATTAACGGGTTACCATACTTCGAAAGCGTATACTATACGTTTGTTACTGTTCTTAATTAAATAGCAAATTCACCATATATACTAGGTGTCCGCTCTTTTCGATAATCTTGCGGAGGCTAATCTAAATGAACGAATCACTTGATAGATAATCTCAAATCTTTCCTTATGTCGGTACCTAGTATACATACGTGGCCTTGGTATCGTCAGCACGTGCAAGACCAATTTTCGCACGCATGAAGAGTTTTGGAGCGCAATTAGATTGCTGTAGACTGGTTCGATATATTTTAAGAGCAGGTATCGTGAGTGTGGTGTATTTCAATTCAGATAGACACAATGTTGGGAGGTGCTAGCACTACATGTGAGACAAGTACTTGTACTGGTAAATTACGCTGGAGGAGGTACTAGTACTGAAAAGGCTATTGTTGCTGTGGATGATTAAGCACCCCGTAAGTAGTTCAGTGAAGTGATTTGAATAACGTTCGGAAATTTGACG